GGCCCCAAGTCGCCCCAAAAGAGCCCCAAGAGGACCCCAAGACCCCCCAAAGAGCCCCAAGAAGGCCCCAAGATGCCCCAAAAGAGCTCCAAGAGGACTCCAATATCCCCCAATACAGCCCGTAGCTCCAAGAAGGCCTTCGATGCTCCAAGGCAGCCTCCGAAATGGCTCAATGCCTGCTCTGTTTCACTATATGTGTCTCTTCTCTCCATTTCCCGGCAGCTCTCATGGGCAGGGCTTCTGAATGGGCTTTGGGTGTTGCCTCCTCCTCCTCATGATCCTCCTCCTTTTCTTCCTCACGCTCTCCCTCGTCATAGTTTCCATGCTCGCCCTCATCATGTTCTGCCCTCTCCTCTCCATGCTCCTCGTCCTCGTCCTGGCTTCCGCCCTCATCGTCGTCATCCTTTTCATCCTCGCCCTTCCCCTCGTCGTCGATATCCTCGTCCTTTTCGTCCTTGTCCTACGTGTTCTGTTCCTGTTCTTTGCTGTCCTCGTCCTCCTATTACTCTTCTTCCGCCTCGCACTCCCCTCCCTCGTGCACCTTGTTCAGTTCTAGGCCTCGGCCTCGTTCCCGCCCTCGCCCTCCCCCATCCTCATCGTCCTTGCACGCGTTCTCCTGTCTCCTCCTCGCCCTCGACCCGGGCGACGGAGATGGACCCAACAAGACGCCCAACTATGTGTGTCTCTTCGTCCCTTTTCCTGTCAGCTCTTATGGGCAGGGCTCCTGAATAGGCTGCTGGGGATTCGCGAAGAGTAAACAATAGAAACAGTACTTCTGGCCACCTCGTATCACTCCTAGGGAGGAGGAGGAGGAGGAGGAGGGGGAGGAGGAGGGGGAGGAGGTTTCAGGACCAGTTCCATTCACCGCCAAATGAAAAAGGGGGGTTCATAACGAAAGATTATTCCAGGTTGCACCCCTCTGCGCGTGGCTGAATATTCACTGTGGCGGGTTCGTGTCCTGGGAACTCGGGGGCGCAGGATATGAATTTCGGCGCGCCCATACGGGCGAGCAGATATCCACATCCACCACTCCTCGGGGCTTCCCAAGGCAAGACTCCGACGCGGTGTACATGGATATGTTCTGGAGGTGGACCTGGGAGGCGTTGAAGATCATGACCCCCCCGACGACAGACTTGCCCACGCCGCCGCCCAGGTCGACGAGCACATCGTCGTCGCCCATGCTCGGGGAACGAACAAGGACATAGACATAAAAACTCAGAGGTCCGCGCGGATTTCTCAGATCGGCGCTGGACCCCCTCAGCGGCGCCTCCGGCGCAGCCCCTGGCGCGCTCCGCGCGCCAGGGAATGGGTTCCAGCGCCGATCCCAGAAATCCGCGCGGACCTCCGAATGTATTATGTTCATGTCATTGCTCGTTCCCTTGCATGCGGAAGAGCGGGTCCGCGAAGAGCCGGCGGGCGTTCATCTCGCCGAAGGTCGACGGGTTGCACTTCACCGACTCCGACCGGTTAGCGTCGATCTCGGCGGCTTCGGCTGCCGGCAGGTTCATGTAACCGCTAAGGTCCTCTACTCCTCCTCCTCCTCCTCCTCCTTCTCCTCCTCTTGCTCGAAGGAGAAACTGGCGCAAAAAGCGCAGCTCCGCGCGGAGCTCTTGGACAGGCGCTGTTCGTCCTCTGTGGGGCGCCCAAAGACGCTCCCCGGTGCCACGGCTGCAGCCGGACCTCGGCCAGAAGAGCATCCTCCAAGAGCATGAGACCCTCCGCCGGCCAAAACACACAGAACATCCAGAGGTGCCCTCCCCAGGGTGTACAAGAGCTTCCAACAAACGCGAAGAACACTAAGGCACCCTCCCCGAACCAACGTCGAGCTTATCCCCCGGTCAGGATGGCCCCGGGAAGGCGCCTAGGGACCGCTTCACAGGAGAATCTGCAAGAACGTACATATAATCCCGGGCTCCGGGCCCTCGGCCCCCCGCCCCCTCCAGATGGCTGGGGGGGGGTACGACGACGACGACGACGACGACGACGACGACGGCGACGGCGACGGCGACGGCGACGGCGACGGCGACGGCGACGGCGACGGCGACGGCGACGGCGACGGCGACGGCGACGAAGGCAACGACGACGACGACGAAAATCATATATTCGGAACTCCGCGCATACCTCTCGGGTCGGAGCCCCCTGGGCTCCGACCCGGCTCCGACCCGCCAATGGCGCGGCGCCGGGGGGACCCAGACGCCGACCCTCAGCAGTCCGCGTGGGGCTCTAAAAAAAACGCGACTATGGTGATTAACCAACAAAGAACCCCTAACCCTTTGGAAGGGGACCAAAGTTAGGACGGGCAAGAACATTAGGAATAGGGGATCTTATCTGCAGAAGTTTCGAACCGAAGAGAATACATGTATTATCCCTTATGCAAAGATGGGGACCTCAGTGAGGCCGCGGCTTCATCGCGTTGTTCGGGTTGGGTTTTTCATCCTCGATGATACATGCCGATCCTGCTCAAAAATAATCCCCGGACACCTCCCGGGGTCCACATCCTGCTCCGCCTTTTTCGACGCGTAGATCCGACCGTGCCGGCGAGAAACCTCCAGGCGCCCCAGGAAGGGCGAAGAGCGCCGCTCCAAGAGGTCCGCGCGAAACTCCGAGGGTATATGCTAGGGCGGGAACGATGCCATGGCAGGCCTGGCGCATGATACCTTCCAGAAGTTCCAAGAGCTGTACCCAGCGGCCCGCGTGTCTGCAGCCCGTGTGGAACATCATATGGGCGACCATGGAAACCCTGGGACCCTTGAAACTCTTGTTGCATCCGAATTCTGCTTCGAAATGCAGCCGCTCAGGTCCTCGGCCCCGTACACGCCGAGCTCCAGCAAGTCACGCCACTCCTCCACGCCGCCGCCGACCGGTGCGCCCTCTCCTGGGGCCGCAACGGCCACACACGCCCACGCCGATCTGGACCAAGGCAGATTCCAAACCTAAAAAAAAATGTAAAAAAACATTCAGAAGCGTCTCATAATTTGCAGCCTCCGGGGTCCCTCGCAAGCGCCCTGGCGCCGTCGAAAATGGGGAAACCAAGAGGTACCGATACCGCTACTCCCTGGACCTCTCCCAGAGTACCTTCTGACAGGAATTTCGAGGCGAATCCAGCGGTGGCGACGAGGGCCTCCGAGGAGGCCCAAGAAGGGGAAAACGAGGCAAGGGTAGAGGTATGGGTACCCTTTCCTCCTCCGAGGGGAGACGAATCGCCAGCGCATCGTCCCGAATCGGATCGGTATCGAACCGCCGCGCATCGCGTCCGCCTGGCCCTGGTCGATGCCGGGCGAATGGAGCCGGATCGCGCATCGAGTGGGAACCGCAGCCCCAGCCAGCGAGTCAAAACCGCATCGAATCGGATCGAGGGCGGCCCTGCCTGGCCAGAAGCGGCGTCGGTGCCTGCGCGCGCCTGCTGTCGCCCGGTGTGGGCCCCAAGGAGCTCACACGGCACGGTCGCGGTCTGCCAGCGCCCGGCTTGTGGGGGGGGGGGGGGGCGTCGGAGGCCCCCGTGGCCGGAGGCATCCCGGAAGAACGAGCGCGCGCTGGTGAGCGTGTTTTTTTTGCGGCGTTTCGACATTTGGGGCGGGAGGGGGAAGGGGGGGAGGGGGGGTCTGGCTCCAGACCTCTGCCCAGTGCGGCCTCTTTGCAAGAGTGCTGCCTCGGGGGGAGACTGCAACCGCTCGAAGCAGGCGCCAAAAAACAGCCAAGGTCTACTCCATGGGTGTGGGGGAGGGGAGGGGGGGTTGGGGGCCCGCGCTGGTCGGCAAAACAATGACTAAGAAAACGATCACCACACCGAATCTGTACCCCAGAGATCCGATGCATCAATTTTACCACACTTGCCCCAAGGCAAGCTTGTTTCTTGAAGGTCCCCGGGTCGAGAATTGGCCACCAGAGCCCGAACACGTCGAAGAGAGAATGCAATCATGGTTTTTGCTGCGGTGCCCAGATCTGAGGGCCAATCGCCGGTGATCTGAGGGTCACCCCGAGGTGTGGTCACCGCACCGCTTTGGTGGCGGGCTCCCACATGAGGTCCATGCCATTCGATGGGGTCAGCAGCGCGTCGCCAATGCATCGGCGACGCCGGCGATGCATCGGTGACGTCGGCATCAAGGAAATCGGGCTCTGTCGCCGATGTGGCGCGACCCAACCTGGGTGCACGAACCCGTTCGGGAGGCCTGGAGTTTGGGTGTAACAGGTCCAACGAGATTATTCTCTTCCAGCCATCATCCCTTCGGGGAGAGGTACCCCCCCGGCCCTCCCGTAGCTCTTTTGGGGTGGTCCCGCGAGCGTCAGGGCGCCCAAGATGGGTCCAAGAGGGCGTCCGATGCTCCAAGATGGTCTTCAAGATGTCTCAAACTAGCCAAAGAAGGTTCAGGTTTGTTTCCAACATCACCCAAGAGGCCCCAAATACCGCTCCAAGACAGTCTCAGTACACTCGTAGCCCTTCCAGGACATCCCCAAGAGGCCAACACCTTATCGCCTTTTCGCTTGCCATGCGCTTTGAGGCCTCACGATGGTTCCAAGATGGCCTAAGAGAGCAGCCCCAAGGGGGGCCTAAGAGGCTACCAAGACGGCCCAAGAGAGGGTTTTGAGGGCTCTTGCGGAGGGACCAAGCAAAAGAACCCCCCCACCCCTATGATCGATGGCCTTCTCAATGACCCCACGAGGCCCAATAGGGCTCCCAAAAAGCTCACAAGAGGGCTCTAGGAGGGCCTGAGAGAGCTTCAACTGGACCCAGAGAGGGCCTCAAGAAGACCCCAAGATGGCTGCCAAAAGCCTCGTCCTCATTCTCCTCGTCACCTGTCGGCCTCGTCCATTTCCTCGTCCTTCTCCTCCTCGTCCTCGTCTTCGCCGTCCTCCTCGTCCTTGCCCTCATCGTCAGTCGCGTCCTTCTCTTCCTTTTCCTGTTTCCTTTGCTCTCCTCCTCCTCCTCCTAATCCTATCGTCGTCGTCAATATTATCTCCCTGCTCCGCATCCTCAATTCACTATGGTTCACCACGATTGCCCGCGTTGGTTCACTGCATGTGTCTCTTCCTCCCATTTCCCGTCAACTCTCATGGACAATGTTTCTGGAACTAATGTGAGATCTGGAGCGAAGTCCAGCTGTAGACACCTCACGAAACCTGCACTGTCAACGTTCACGCCAAGACTGCCGAACATCAACGTCCAACCAGAATCATGGCAGACTTACTCTGAGATCCTGTGCCTTGTTTTTATTCCCAACCATCCTGTGTGTTGGGTTCTCGTGTTTGAATTCGCAGAGCCGCGCGTCTCCTCCTCTCCTCCTCCCCCTCCTCCTCTCTTCTTCCGCCTCACTTTCCCTCAATTTCCTGCTTATCCCTCTTCCCGTCCCCACCGCCATCATCATCACCACAATCAGCATCGTCGTCATCAACATCATTATCTTCATTTTCGTTACCGCCATGATCATTCGTATCACCGTTTCGCCACACCACTCAGACGTTTCGTGATCCCACAGGAAGCTCCACCGAAGGTCAATGGAGGCTACGCACTGCTACTCCAGTACATTCTGGCGCACCGCCTCACACGAAAGAGTCGGCATGGTTACACGGGCCATTCTGGCTCACGCCTCACACGTTCCATGGCGTCATCGGCAGCTCCACCGAAGGCCTCAGTGGCAGGGTCCGCATGGCTACTCGGGTCCATTGTGACACACCCTCATACATTTCGTGGTCCCGTGGGGGGCTCCACCGAAGGCCTCAGTGGCAGGGTCCGCATGACCACCCAGGGTCCATTCTGGCGCATCGCTCACGCGTTTCGTTGCCCCGTGGGGAGCTCCACCGAAGGCTCCAGTGGCAGGGTCCGCATGGCCACTCGGGTCCATTCTGGCACGCCTGGGCACGTCCCCCTCCCCCCCTGGGCACGCATCTCCCGCGACAGACCCAGGCGCGGCGGCGATCTGCTGGCGGTCTTCTGGGCGGTCGTCTGGCGGGCGTCTGGCAGTCTTCGGCGCCTTTCCTGGCGCGAACACTTGATGGTTAAGCTTACCAAGGGGCCCATGATCGAACACTGGACGCAAGGGCGTGGATATGGATGCGTTCGGCGCTCGTGAATGGGGACTTCTCCCCGGGCTGGCGTTTCATCCTGCGTCATCGTTTTTTGGCGTTCCCGGGGCCCAGCGAGGGCCCCCAGAGGCCGAAAAGAGCCCAGCACCTCCCGTAGCGACTGTCTCACGCGGGGGGGCCCTGGCGCGCCTCCCCGCATTTCTCGGGGGCTTCCGCGTCGTCTCCTTTTGGGGGTCCGGGTCTCAGGCCCTGTTTGCGCCCTCAGACGCGATCCAGGACGCTGCAAACAGGAACGCACGGGCGTGGAAATAGAAAAGTTCGGCGCTCGCGGTTGGGGACTTCCTCGGACCAACGTTGCATCCTGCGTCGTCAGTTTCCCCGGGGCCCAGCGAGGGCCCCCAGAGGCCGAAAACAGCCCAGCGCCTCCCGTCGCGACTTTCTCCCGACGCGGGGGGCACCAGCGCCTCCCGTCGCGACTGTCTCACGACGCCCTGGCACGCCTCCCCGCATTTCTGGGGAGCTTCGCCTCCGTTGGGGGTCCGGGTCCGGGGCCCTGCCTGGCGCCCCCAGAGATGTGATGCAGGAAAGAAGCCAGGACTGCTTGATCCAGAAGATCTCCTGCTCCCGCCACTGGCTGGCCCAGACTTGCTGTGTCTTGCTTTTGTTCACTACGGGGTCCCCGGAAGCTCCGACCCTCTCTCAAGGGCCGATTTCTATATCAATAATTATTCGACGGTTTCAGGGGCCCAGCCCCCCCCGTAGTCGAAAACAGCTTAACAAAAACACCAGTCCTCATTTTTTTCAGAACGCGAGCATGTCCTGGGCACGCCTAACTACCCCTTTGGGGGGACGTTTCCTTTCGGAATCCAGGCTGGTCCGGGCAGGGCCCTGCTCGGCGTCCCCGAATGTGCGCTATCGGCCGCTGTTGGGCCCTATTCGAAAGCTGTTTGAGCGCTGTTCGGCACTACCGGGCGCCTTTTGGCATTGGTGCGCGCTGCTGGGCGCTATTCGCTGATGCGCGTTCGGTCCATGATTGCTTATCTGATTGACTCGTCCGCCTCCAAGCGGAGGCCTGGGCACTTGAGCAGGGACCGACTGTCCCGGCATTCCTGTAGGCCTACCACTACCACGAGATGCTCTTAGAACCCCCAAACATGTTCCGACTAACAATATCTGCCAGCGTTGACTCCAAATATATTAGACTACTCAAATCAAGGAATCAGGGGAATCGAGCATGCTTAGAATCAGCATCTCAGCAAGCAAGCAAGCGTGCAAGCAAGCGCGCAAGCAAGCAAGCAAGCAAGCGTGCAAGCAAGCGCGCAACCATACATAAGGAGGGTGCCATTGGAAAAAGGGGGGATAGGCATACGCATAGGCATAGGCATAGGCATAGCCATAGGAATTAGGGGGGCTCAGGAATCAGGGGGGAGGGTTTGAGCTAGGACTCCCATAGGGCAAGCCTGTTTGGAGAAAAACAATGCTCTTAGAATACACACCCGATGTGGTAAAACAAGACGGCCTCGGCCAGAAATGCGCTGAGAGCATTGCGTGCCGACCACACGAAGGCTCTCAGAGCAGTCTTCCGTGGGCCCATGGGCAAGGCAGGACGCTTCGCCACTGCTCGAGGCACGCCTCCCCCCCTTTGGGAGGCTTCCCCCGCCTCTCCCGCGGCGGACCCGCGTGCCGCGGCCCCCGGCAGCGGCAGCCGCACGCGGCACGCGCCGCCCGGCGGCCGCGCGAACCCGCGCAACGCGAGGGCGGCGAGCGGGGCCCAGCACCGCATGCCGTTTCTTATTGGCGGCGCGGGGCGCCCCTGAACAGGATGCCCTTCGATGCGAGGCGGGGATTTACTCATGTCCACTTAGCCAAAATGAATTCGTATCCAACGCCCGGCGGGAGGTGTATATGCATATATGTTGTCCCCCGGGGGCCCGAATGTAGACACACACACATATATATATAGATATATAGATATATACATATATATATATACATATGTTATGTATGTGTGTATATATGTATTTATGTATACACACATGTAGCTATATAAACATATACACACATGTATATATATATATATACACAGAGAAAGAGAGATGTATATCCGCCGCCTGCCGAAGTCCCCAGCCAATTGATCCCCCAGGCGGTGGTCATGTGTAAGTTCCCGCCTCGGACTAAAAGGCCTGAAAGCCCAGACATGCTCGCGTCTTGAAAGCATCAAGACGGCGCCTGTCCCTCGTCGTCGGCTTCGCTGGGGGGCCCTCGCCAGGCCACGGGGCCGTCAAAACACGACCCAGGATCAACTCAGGATGAAAAGCAGGTCCTGGGGAACGGGTCGGGGCTTCCGGGGACTCCGCATAGAAATTACCCGGTGACGTACCCAACCCTTTCTAACCAGATGGCGAATGCATATAGATATCTATGGGGCCGCCCACTACAAACAGATATGTTTGTGGACGCGCAGTGCGCATGTGCTCTTAGAAAGCATGCAGGCCTCGGCAAAAAGCAGGGTCGGAGACAGAATCGTACGAAGGAGGGTGACTGGGGGGACATACATGTGCAGTTTCAGCAACAGCACCGAGCGCGACTGTACGCGGGACAGAACAGCGCCATGCGCTCGCTGTAGCAGAACAACGCGTCGCGCTGAGCGAGGCTCGCGCGCGAGACTAAAATGCCACGCGGACAAAAAAACAGCGCCGTGCGCTGCGTGGTGCAGCGGCTCCCTGAGAGCCGCGCTGCGACAGCGCCGAGCGCTGCGCAACAGGACAGGGCCACGCGCGATGGGAGCCCAGGCCATTTTTGATACGAGTACTTGTCGTCAATTGGATTTCTCGTCGCGACCTCCCAGGAGCCCACGAAAATGGCGGCAACTGCGCACTTCGCAGCCCTCTAGGGAGCAGCGAGGTCCCAACTGGATCCCCGTACAAATCCACTCCGCGAGACGTCCCTCGAACCCACGAAAAGAGCGACAATTGCACACGTCGCAGCCCCGCAGAGAGCCGCGAGGTCCCAACTGGATCCCCGTACAACTCCACTCCGCGCGACGTCCCTGGAGCCCACGAACGTGGCGACAACTGATTGTTCCACAGCCCTCCAGGGAGCCACGAGGTCCCAAATGGATCCCCGTACAACTCCACTCCGCGCGACAGGCTTGTTTCGTGAAAGACCGGCTGGATGTTACAATTCGAGAAATGGGCGCAACCAAAGAACCATGGTGGGGGTGTCCGACACCCCAGCGTCGATTGGACCCGCGATGTCGCGATTTCTTTCATTGCGGAGCCTTTCCCCAGGACCGGCTATTCGTTCTGAGTCAGTTTTGACGGTCCCCAGTGAGAGGGAGAAGCTTCTCGGAAGGCGGCGGAAGTTCTCAAAAACCCTCGCGCCTCCTCAAACATGTTCAATGTCTTCGGGAAGGCTTAGAAAACTTCTCGGAAGGCCGGGGAACTTCCGAGCCTTCTGAGAAGGCCTCCTCCTTCTCACTTCCCCCCTCGCTCGCCGCCGACAAGTACGAAGAGGAAACGGGTTCCTGATCTGTTCGAGACGCGAGCATGTCTGGGGGGGCAGTGTGGGCTATCAGTCTCAGAGAGGGCCTCGGCCAGCCGACTCCGCGGCACGGCCACCACGGGTGCGGCGCGGGCGTCCGACAGCGCCGACGAGGTCTGAGCCGAAATGGCCACGGACGGCGGCGTCACGACGGGCAAGCCTCAGGGACAACTGGGAGGTCGAGGGAGCTGCATCGTCCACCCCCCTTTCTTCCCCTTCGGGGCATGGTGTTTTTCGCTGTTCCCTCTGAGTGGACATCCCCTCCCCGGCCGACCGACAGCCAACCCGGACCAATGATAACCCCCCCACCCTCTCTGGCAACTTACCCTACAAGTCGCATGTGTCTTCCAAATCTGGAGCATGCGCCGCGACCACTTGGGATTGGTTTTTGACAGGGACGGCGGTAGTGCCCACACATTGCTTGGCGCGCGCAGGCCAGCCAGCTACAAACACAATGCACAATACACGTTGTCTTCGAATCTGGAGCATGCGCGGGCGTCCCGCGACCACATTGCATGGTGTTTGACACGGACGGCGGTAGTGCCCTCAGATTGCTTGCTGCGCGCAGGCCAACTATTCCTAGAAAATTGCAATGCGTTATGCACTTTGCCTTCAAACCTGGAGCATGCGCGGGCGCCCCGCGACCACTTGGCACTGGTTTTCGACACCGACACTCGGGTGAAACCCGATGTTGGCAGGACGAATGGGACTGAGCGACTCGGCTTGCGCCTTGAGGGCAAGAGATGTCTTGGCCCCTCCCCTTACATCCCCCCACCCTGGGTCTGCGGGTGGGGAGGGGGCGCGGGTCGTTGGAGCGTCCAAGATGGCCTCAACGAGACAGCAGAGATCATAGACTTCCCTATGGTGGTGGGCCGATTTGGGCCTACTGGGCGGGAAATGCAAATTTAGTACCCTCCTTCTTTGATCGAACTCCTCTAAGCTGGCCCGAAGATGGTCCCCAGGGCCCCCGAGTGTCCCAAGAGGCGCCGAGGAGGCCCAAAGAAGCCTTCAAGAGGCACTAAATATGCTCCCAAGAGGCCCCCGAAAGGCCCCAAGAGGTTCCCCCGAGGCACTCAAAAAGGCTCCCAGAACCCCCCCCCTGAGCCACCAAGAGGCCCCAACCAAGAAGCTTTCAGATGACATCCTAAGAGACTCCGACAGGCATCCGAGAGGCCTCTGGCCGTTCTGCTCGCCCGCCTCCTCCAACTCCACCTCCTCCTTCTCCTCCTCCTTCTCCTCCTCCTTCTCCTCCTCCTACTCATCCTCATCCGCGTATTCCTCCTCACTCCTCCCTCCTCCTCCTCCTCCTCCTCCTCCTCCTCCTCCGCCTGCGATTCCTCCTCCATCCCTCCACTCTTCGGTTACGACGGCTTTCCCAGCACTTCATTTCACTGCGTGCCCCCTCCATATCCCTGATCAAGGCAACTCACCTGGGCATCGTTTCTGAATGGGTTGGTGGGTAAACGAAGCGTCTAAAATTCACTGGCGGCATCCGAACCCTACCCCCCACAGCCATTGATTCTCCTGAGTCGATCGGAGCCGGGGCAAAATTCAGATTTCGACACGTGTTTGACGAACTCCGAGCCCTACCCCCGCTGCCCATCGGGTTGCCGGATTCGTTGACACGCTGCCCATCGAAGACAGAGTCCGGATTCCACCGACGACTCATGCGAGCTCAAGAATCATGATCCAAACACTCAACGCCCTTCAAAACTCAGGACGGAGGCCTTCCTCAATGTTCGGCCCCCAGGGGGGGTCTCACTGGGCCCCGAAAGATCGGGGGCGTCCAAGGGGGGCGTCCAAGAGGGGGGGGCGCAAATCATGGCCGGCGGCACGTGCGCGGCCCAGGGGGGGGGGGACGTCATGAAGTAAGAAGAGGCGCCGTGAAATCTGGGGAGAAATCGTGGCCCCCGCCATGATATCCACCTCCCCCACATAGTCATCACCCCCCTCTTGGCCGCCCCCGAAGGAATGAAAAACCGGCCCTGCGCAGAGGGCCAGGACTTCTGTGGGCCGCGCGCTGGGGACGTCGGGGTCTCGCCTGTCTCGGGCCGGGCGAAAGGGGGGGATAGCAAAAGGGGGGTTTGAGAATCAGCTCACATAGCTGATTTTCCCGGCGCCTCCCGGCGCGGAGGGGCACCCATGTGTCGAGGAATGGGCCCAGCGGCGGGGCCGAAACCAGCTGCATGCAGCTAATTTCGTACCCCCCCCCTTTCCTCTATCTCCCCCTTCCGTTCGGCCCGACTGTCTGGGGGGGCCTCTCCTCTCTCCAGGGCGAGGCGCAAGGCAGCGTCGGCGCGGTGCTGCCACGACGCGAGGGGCCTCGAGTCTCCCCCCCCCCGCCTGACCTGAGGGGCAACAACGATGGGGCGGGGGCGGCATGTGTAACGGGGCCCCAGGACACACAAACAAGTACACACACACAGAGATTCCCCGTATGTTCCCATATCTTCTGGTTTTTGTTTTCCCCCCCACTTCCCATACCTTCCAATCTTTTCTGGGGAGTCGGCGATTAATTGTGTCTGTGTGCTTTTTCTCCTCCTGACTGAGGGGCAACGATGGGGAGGGGGCGGCACGACGTAACACGATCGGTCGCGACCGATTCGGAGCCAAGCCGGTCGCGACCGATCACGGGATTTCAGGCGAAGTCAGAAGGGATCGATCTCGTCGGTCGCGACCGCTGCTGAGCCCAATCGGTCGCGATCGATCACGGAACTTGAAGCAAGATCGGGAGCGGTCAATCTCTCGTCGGTCGCGGCCGGAAACATGCGGCATCCGATGGCCAGGAGCTGATCCCAGGACGAGCGCCACGGCGCCGCCTCCACTGCAAGGGGGCGATGAGGAAGGGGGGGGGGCCAGCTCCACCAGGGGGGCAACGTCGGGCGTACGTCGGCGAGACACGGCCGATAGATCGGCGCCACGCCCCTAGCGGCGGATACCCCTCGCATCTGGGCGGGGTGGGCCATCGGGTCCACACGTGGTGATCAATGGGCGATCGGGGGTCCGAAGGCCGGAGTCGCTTTGAACAGCTCTTCGAGCTGCTCTTGGAAAAGCTCGTCGCTCTTGGCTCCTCGATCTCCCCCCCTTCTGCCCTTTGCCTCCACGCCTGGAGTCGGGTCGCAATTTTCGGCCTCCGGGGGCCCTTGTCGGGCGTCGGGACCGTCAATTAAACGACTCAGGATGAAAAACCGGTCCCGGGGAATGGGTCGAAACCTCTGGGGGTCGACGTAATGAAAAAATCATGACGTCGGGGGTCTGGGAATATTCACCACCACCACCTCCTACACCCCCGCCCTCCCCGAGAAAAGAGGAGAGGGAGAGGAGGGTAGGTGAGGGAGGGGGAATCGACGTGGTGGTGGTGTATCTTCTCGGAGCCCGCACAGATCCCCCTAACCTTGCCCCTGACAACCCCCCAAGCGGGGACGCGCCCCCTTCCCGCCTCAGGGATCTGGTCAGGGCTAATCCAGACCCGGGTCAGTCGGGAGCCCGCGAGATCCAGCAGGATCCTGCACCCAAGCCCGGGCCGGTGCGATCATCCTGGCTCTGCAGGATCTTGCAAGACCCGGCACTCTGACTGACCCCACTTTGCATGGACCCTCGTCCCTTGTTGGCGGCGCGCGCAGGGGTAGGGAGAGCAGGAAGGCTTCTGAGAAGAGAGGCTGCTTCGTAGAAGGCGCCAGCCTTATACCTATAGAGAAGGCCCGCGCCTTCTAAGAAGCGGGGGTGCTTCGAAGAAGCCTTCCCCCCTCCCCCCTCTACGTGTGGCCGACCTTGAGCCCAATCCTCGTCAACGTCCTTCTAACGCGGACTTCACTAACGGGGGTTGGCCAGTGACCCGGCGAACCCAACCCTCCCCGATGTGGGCCACGCTGCAATGCCAGCAAGAGGCCTTAAAACGGCAACTTTCAGCAAATTTGCAAATTACCCATTACCCATTACCCAAACCCCCGACGTCGCGATTTTTGTCCCAACCCTCCTGCGTTGGGTTCTCGTTTTGAAAAGAGGGCTGCTCGCGCGTCGACTTCCTTACTTCCTTCCTTCCTTCCCGCCCCTCTCTTCCCCGTTGCCTTTTGCCTCGCTCGTCGCTGCATGCCAGCTGGGGGGCTGCGATCTGAGAAACTGTCGCCACTTTCGAGGCCTGCTGGGGGGCCCAGCGCAGTGGGTACTCACGGCAGACTCAAATTGGACCTCGCCATCCCTGGGGGGCTACGATCTGTGAAACTGTCGCCACTTTCGAGGCCTGCTGGGGGGCCCAGCACAGTGGGTACTCACGGCAGACTCAAATGGGACCTCGCCATCCCTGGGGGGCTGCGATCTGTGAAACCGCCGCCACTTTCGAGGCCTGCTGGGGGGCCCAACGCAGTGGGTACTCACGGCAGACTCAAATGGGACCTCGCCATCCCTGGGGGGCTGCGATCTGTGAAACTGTCGCCACTTTCGAGGCCTGCTGGGGGGCCCAGCACAGTGGGTACCCACGGCAGACTCAAATTGGACCTCGCCATCCCTGGGGGGCTGCGATCTGTGAAACTGTCGCCACTTTCGAGGCCTGCTGGGGGGCCCAGCACAGTGGGTCACGGCAAACTCACCTTTCGAGGCCTGCTGGGGGCCCAGCACAGTGGGTACCCACGGCAGAGTCAAATGGGACCTCGCCATCCCTGGGGGGCTGCGATCTGTGAAATTGTCGCCACTTTCGAGGGCTGCTGAGGGGCACAGCACAGTGGGTACCCACACGCAGATTCAAATTCGACGTCGCCATCCCTGGGGGGCTGCGATCTGTGAAATTGTCGCCACTTTCGAGGCCTGACGCCACGGGCGGACCCAAATTAGACCTCGACATCCCTGGGGGGCTGCGATCTGTGAAACTGTCGCCACTTTCGAGGCCTGCTGGGGGGCCCAGCACAGTGGGTACTCACGGCAGACTCAAATTAGACCTCGCCGTCCTTGGGGGGGCTGCGATCTGTGAAACTGTCGCCACTTTCGAGGCCTGCTGGGGGGCCCAGCACAGTGGGTACCACCGCGGACTCAAAATAGACCTCGCCATCCCTGGGGGGCTGCGATCTGTGAAACTGTCGCCACTTTCGAGGGCTGCTGGGGGGCCCAGCACAGTGACGTCACACGCGGATTCAAATTAGACCTCGCCATCCCTGGGGGGCTGCGATCTGTGAAACTGTCGCCACTTTCGAGGCCTGCTGGGGGGCCCAGCACAGTGGGTACCCACGGCGGATTCAAATGGGACCTCGCCATCCCTGGGGGGCTGCGATCTGTGAAACTGTCGCCACTTTCGAGGCCTGCTGGGGGGCCCAGCACAGTGGGTACCCACACGCAGATTCAAATTAGACCTCGCCATCCCTGGGGGGCTGCGATCTGTGAAACTGTCGCCACTTTCGAGGCCTGCTGGGGGGCCCAGCACAGTGACGCCACACGCAGATTCAAATTAGACCTCGCCATCCCTGGGGGGCTGCGATCTGTGAAACCGTCGCCACTTTCGAGGCCTGCTTGCGGGGCCCAGCACAGTGACGCCTGCCAAGTAGCTTACACATCAAATTGATTGTCCATACAAGTTTCGGCCAACTCCTCGTTTCCATTGATACAAATGGGTTGGGTACGTCACAGGGTAATTCAAAACGTCGACCCCCAAAGATCTGGACCCCTTCCCTGGGACCGGTTTTTCATCCAGAGTCGTTTTTTGACGGTCCCGAGGCCAGGGAAAGGCCCCCGGAGACCAGAAATAGCGAGGAGCCTCCCGTCGTGATTTTTGTTGTTGCCCGAGTGAGGTACAGATGACGGTGCCGCTGACCGTCCTCGCTGCCCTTGCCGCCGGCCGGCAGCGGCGGCCGGCCGGCAGCGGGGGCGGCCACGGGCCGCGGCTATGAACCGCGGCTACGGAGGCGCGTCGTGGGGGCGGCGGAGGCCGCGGGCCGGGGGTGGGGGCTCCTCCACGGGCGGCAGGATGTAGAGCGCGAGAGACCCGTCCAGTCTCGCCACGCCTCTGTCGCGCGGGCGCGTACAGGATTCGGCCTGACCGAAGGAACGATACATAAGGAACGAAGCCCCTTTCTTTCCGAGTAAGCCTAGGAAGTCCGAAGGAACACCAGGGGGGCTCGCCACCAAAAAGGTAGCGGAACGCATGCAAACCAAAGGAACGACCGACCCCCTTTTGAAAAGTAAGTGTTCCTTACTCAAGCCGGACCCTGTACGGGGCTCGGAGGGCAGCTTTTGGCTGCGACCTGCTGCCAAGGCTCGCTTCTGCTGCCGCAGATCAGGATGCCGCCTCAGAAGGCCCTGGATGCAATGTACTGGCACTGGTGATCTGCGTCTTCGCGACGGCGCCTGTGGTCAGCCCCTCGGTACCCTCGGCGCGCTATCAATATTGGGCATGGGGCTGGCATGCCTAATCGCTCGCCGTTGAACACCTACTTCTCGTGATATGTAAGTTGGTGACGGCGTCGTAAATAACATCCATGCATCATGAATTATCCAGGCGAAGGGCCCAACAGTACGAAGCAGTGAGTAACGCAGTTGTGAGTGTCCTCCTCGGATGAGCTCCCTATAGGAGCCACGAAACGTGTGAGAGATGTGCTGGCATGGACATGCGGTGGGCGGGGATCCGCATGCTAACCCTTCGACTGGGTCCTTCACTTCAGTGGAGCTCCCGATGGGGCCACGAAGCGCGTAAAAGGTATACCGACATGGACATGCGGTGGGGGGGGGGGCCGCATGCGATCTTTGCTACTGATGCCCTAGAAGCCCCAATGTAAGACCCGATAGACAGTCGACGCCACCACCAGCATCGCCGGGAGGCCAGGTAGGGTCCTTCTGGCGGTCGGGGTTCCTACCGCCGACGATGACCCAGGGATTCCCTGAGCAGTGAATCTGAGAGCTCTCGAGCTCCCAGGAGGGGCAATATCTGCAGATGAGCATGTATGTAGGTATGTCTGTCTGTCTGTCTGCCTGCCTGCCTGTCTGTCTGTCTGTCTGTCGGTCCGTCTCTGTCTCTGTCTGTCGGTATGCTTGTATGTCTGTATACTTGTATATATGAACACATATATATATAATGTATGCAGTTATGTATATATGTAGGTCAGTATGTATGTATGCATGCATGTATGTATGTGTATATACATGTGTGCATGCATGTCTGCATGTATGTATGTCTGCATGTGCATATGTGTGTATGCATACATGCATATATGTATATATATATATATATATGCATATGTGTGTATGGATGTATGTGTATATGCATTTATGAATGTCTGTATGTATGTATGCGTTTGCGCGTATTTATATATATATATATATATGTGTGTATGTGTGCATGTAGTGTATGCTTGCACATGGGTGTATACGTATGCAACCGAAAGTATGTATGCATGTGTGCATGCATGTATGCATGCATGCGTGCATGTATGCATGGTTGTGAGTGCGCGTGTGCTGGCTTGTGTGAGGTAAGCATACATGCATGCATGTAACTATGTCTGTGTACATTGGGATGTGGGTATATGTTTCCGTGAACGTATGTGCCTACGTATATGTATATGTACATGAATGTGCAACCGACCGTGTATCTGTATGCGTATGCGTATATGTACATATGCATGCGCACATCCGTGTGTGCATGTATGTACGTGCGCATGGATGTGAACATGCATGCATGGTTGTATGGTTATGCACATGTGTATACCTGTAAGCAGACATGCGTGCATGTGTGCATGCGTGCGTGTATTTATATATAATTGCATATGTGAGTTTGAGTTTGTGGTTATGGATATATGAAGTTAGATACGTGTATTCATGTCTCATGCATACATGTAGGTGCATAGGCCAATGCACATGCATATGCATATGGTGTGTTCATACGTATGTGTGTATGTATGTATTTAGGTCGGTATGGAGGTATGTATGCATGCATGAGTGCATGCACGTATGCATATCAATGTAGGCGGATGGTCGTTGTGTGTTTGCTTGTTTGTATGTGCGTATGTATACGTGTATGTATGTGAGTGTGCGCAAACACGTTTCTATACACCTATGTGTAAACAGATATCTGCATCAACCGACTTCTGGGGTCCTGGGGACATCGGCCCCCCAGGCAGTGGACATGACATGTATGAGCCGTGGCCTCGGACAGGTGGGGAGGGGGAAGGTCAAGGGGAACAGTCGGACCCACACTCGGTCCGCATCAAAGGATGCGCGACAAGGATGCAAGGGCCTGGGAAGGCCGTTTCGGAGCTTTCCGAGCGGGGCGCGGCCAACGAAAGTGGCCATGGATGAACCGAGGACGCATGGATGCGAGGGTCCCCTTGGGAAGGTTGCCCATCATTACAATGCTGGTTGACTGTAGGACAGAAGAACACCCCTCAAGAACATGATCTCCTCAAGGGTGCCCTCCCCCAGGATGCACAAGAACATCCAACAAGCACAAAGACAGATCAGGTACCCTCCCCAAGCCGACCTTGATCTTACACCTCGGTCCGACCGTAAGCAAAACGAGCGACAAAGGCAGCAGAGACCCATACGCGTCTCCAATCGCTGCTCGAGCTGCTGCGCGGTGAAGGTCAGGCGGTCATGCATGCACGCATCTGCATGTGCACTCTGTCATGAAAGGCCCAGAGGCTCGAAACCTACAGCAGGAGGAGGGATGAGGGAGGAGAGGGGGCTGAGATAGAGGGGGAGAGAATGAGTGAGATGGGGGGAGGGGGCGAATGAGGGGGAGAGAACGAGGGAGGGGGGGGGAAGGAGGGAGGGGGGGATGACGGGGGGGGGAGGCGGGCGGAGGAGGCAGGAGAGGACGGGGAGCAGGAGAGGAGAAGGGAGGACGAAAGGATGGACATGGCGGAGGAAGGAGCGGGGGACGCCCTCCGATCACCAAGGTTTTCTAAAAAAGCGCTCCTCGGGGTCTCGGGCGTCCATTCTGGGGAGCCCGGGACCTCTCATGGCAGAAGGGGCCGAGGGAAGCAAAATGCAGCACGGAGGGTCCTTCTCATGTCCCCCCCACCCCGTGCCCGCCTCCAAATCGCAAACCTCCCCTTCCTCCTCCTCCTCCTCCTCCTCCTCCTCCTCCTCCTCCCTCTTCCTCCTCCTCCTCCTCCTCCTCCTCCTCCTCTTTCCTGTTTGTCCTCCTCCTGTTCCTCCTCCTCCTCCTCCTCCTCCTCCTCCTCGTGAGCCCTGGCCCCTCTCCGAAGCACCCCTTCCTCCCCCCGCGCCGAGGGCCGACGCGGGGGCACCCGTGCGCAGAGAAGACGCCGCAGCAGGGAGGAGCAGGAGGGGGAACACCGAAAGGGGGGAGGGGGGAGGGAGGGATGCTGCGCGCTGTGTTGGTCGCTGCGTGCTGGGGCTCGGGCTGCTTGGCGCAATCGGCTCATCAGCTGGCGATAAGGACACCGAGGGGAGGAGGGAGGGGAGCAATGCGCTGTGTTTGGCCAGTTGCAAGCTGGGGCTCGGGCTAGTTGGCATATCGGCGTATCAGCGGGCGATAAGGACACCGAGGGGAGGAGGGAGGGATGAGCAATGCGCTGTGTTTGGTGGTTGCGTGCTGGGGCTCGGGCTAGTTGGCATATCGGCGTATCAGCGGGCGATAAGGACACCGAGGGGAGGAGGGAGGGATGAGCAATGCGCTGTGTTTGGTGGTTGCGTGCTGGGGCTCGGGCTAGTTGGCATATCGGCGTATCAGCGGGCGATAAGGACACCGAGGGGAGGAGGGAGGGATGAGCAATGCGCTGTGTTTGGTGGTTGCGTGCTGGGGCTCGGGCTAGTTGGCATATCGGCGTATCAGCGGGCGATGAGGACACCGAGGGGAGGAGGGAGAAGGAACACTGCTTGATGTTTAGTCTTTGCGTGCTGGGTCTCGAGGTCGTTTGCATATCGGCTTACAAGCGGGCGACGAGACGGATGGGCTGGGCGATGTGCACGCGAGCCCTGCTCCAGTCGTGTAGTCGCACTATGGTCCAGAGGAGAAAAGAGCGGTGAACCACGAGGAGGGAGGAGGGGGATGGAGAGGTGCCGCACGAGTGCGGAACCTCAAACGTTCCGTTCGTGATCCGATGCTGTCGCAGAGGTGAACTCCAACTCGGCTCTCCGGCGGCCGTTCGGGGCGATCTGAGCACCCCCGTGGCGCGATGCTCCGACCCCCTCTCTGCCCTGGCCCGATATATGGGAGGCCTGGAGAGCCTCCGCCCTGAGAAACGACAGCGCCATAGAGGAAAGAGAGGCGGGACAGAAGCATGCTCATTGGCTGGCGCACGCCTCCTCATTCCGTCGAATCATTCCGTCGAATGCAAAAGCTCTACGGTTAGGTCGGGCATGTCCCCCGTACAGGCAGATCTTGAAAAAGGAAAGATAAATAGAAAAGGAATTCTGGATACTGTCAAAATTAATAGAACAACCGCCCCCGACATGTCTACACTATTATGGTTTAGATTATTTCCTGTAGAGGGGCAAGTCCGACTTAACTATACGGGGCCGCAAGCTCTGGCAAAACGCCGTGTCATCCGAAATCCCAGCCCCTCGGAGAGTGAGCACTCGCCTGGCCGTGAAAACGAAGGGAGAGGAGCGAGGAGGACGAGCACGGAGGGTAAGGAAGAGGAGAAAGAGCGGGGGAGGCAGACGCAGAAGAACGGTGCTTGAGAAGCGAGAGGGCACAAGATGAGGCGAAGGGGGGGGCGCGAATTTGGGATTGTGCGTCGATGCCGCTAAAGGCAACGCTCTCATGCTAATGGCGGCTCGCCTGCCCGCATCTTCGAGCGGAAGTACTTGATATACTCCTCGCAGGCCGACCGCAGCCGCGGAGGAGGCATGTATCATGTGTGTTGCATGGCTTCGGCCGTGTGCGCATATAGCCCATAATGCGTATCCAGCCCCTGTGTGAATGTACCCTTTCTGCGGTGTCGACATCCAAGCGAAGCGAATGGCACAGACGTGGATGCTGCAACACCGCCTCAACAACCCTGGATCTACGCGGCGTGTTCGAGAACCCGCTGGGTGCGGTTGGCCCCCGTCATGGCGACGTAGGCTTCGGTTCCTGACACCGCGTGGATTGATCACTGTTGAACGATCGGCACTTTCTGCAATGGTCGTTCAAAATTGGCCTAGTTCAGACCAACCTGTTTCTTCAAACTTGAAAGGCAACGGAACGGAACGCCTGTGCGGGCCCCTTAAGGGCGAGGCGGGTGAGGCCATGGCCTCACGCCCCAAACAAAGTCGAGGCAACGATACACGCAGCTCGAACCTGCCGGAAAGATATGACGTCTGCTCAAAACATGCAAGGCCTGCTGGCGATGCCGAAACGGTACGTCACACCAACACCAATCCAACTGCGCCGCCATGCCAGCAGCCCGCCGTGCTCAAGCGGAACTGCGTGCATCGCCGCGAGGTCAAACAATTCGACGAAATCTCTCAAACAAAGCGCCCCTCAACCGCAAACTACCCGATTCGATCAGGAGCTGAAAGCATCTTGACAACCTTGCTGGTGGGAGTGAGCGGCAATGGGCAGAAGACGAGTGTACACCCCTCATCCTGTCCTCTTCCCTCCTGAAGGGGAACGAAGAATGACCCAACCATAAAAACTCTGAGGCCTGCGCGGTTTTCTCGGATCGGCGCTGGACCCCCCCTTCCTGGCGCGAGGAGCGCGCCAGGGGCGGCGCTGGAGGCGCCGTTGGAGGGGGCCCAGCGCGGATCCAATACATCTGCGAGGAGCGCAAAAAGTATATGCTTATCGCGATTTGTCATTTTCGGATCGTGTCCTCGTCCCTCCTGCGTTATCGTCGACGTCGTCGTCGTCGTCGTCGCCCTCTTCATGCTCACCCTGTGTACACCGTGCCTACCATCTGCAACGAAACGAACACCACATGGGGCCTCCGCACACTCCCGTCCTCCCTGTGGAGTCCCTGGCCTTGGACACCCACATTCTCCTCGGTCATCCCTCCCTTCTCCTCCTCCTCCTCCTCCTCCGCCTCCGCCTCCACCTCCTTCTCATCCAACTCCTCCTCTCCTCCTCCTCCTCCTGCTCCTCCTCCTCTGCCTCCTCCTCCTCCTCCTCCTCCTCCCCCTCCCCCTCCCCTCCTCTTCCTCCTCCTCCTCCTGCTCCTCCTCCTCCTTCTCCTCCTCCTCTCCTCTCCTCCTCCTCCTCCTCCTCCTCCTCCTCCATCTCCTCCTCCTCCTCCTCCTCCTCCTCCTCCTCCTCCTCCTCCATGTGGCCTCCTGATGCCGCTCCTGGCATGTTTTAAGACGAAGCCAGAACGAGAATGAATTCGAGAGAAGATACATTAAAACTCTCTAAGATCCGGCGGCTCTGGAGGACGTCTTGGCGCCGCGGCCTTATCAGAGCGTTCAAGAACGCTCTGAGAGCGTTCCAGAACGCCGTGGAACGGATTCATCCTCGTCCTGGCCGCGCCCGATCCTGGCACGTCGTCGAAGAACAAGAGCGGCAGTCTTAGAGAAAGGATTCAACCAAGGCTTCGGCCACGCACACGTGCTTCGGCTCTGGGAGCCCTGGCCTCCACGAGGTTGGCATATTCTCGGGGAAGCGGATTTCGCGCGCGCCCGCCTCCCGCTGGCTTGCGCCAAAGGGGGGCGCTCTCGTCAGCCCGGTTCAGCAACCGCTGGGCCAGGTGAGGCCCGATCGAGCCGAGGTTCGGGCCACACTGGTCCGGATCATGTCGGATACAAACGGGATTGGGGCGGATTCCGACCGCGAACGTACCAGCGCCGATGCTGATTTCGACGTCCCCGAAGTTACAATCGGACGTCGCAGGCCGCCGACGTCATGACCTCGCGCGCAGCGTGGACCATGAGAGGTGTTGACCCCTGAAAAAGGGGGCCTGGGGACACGCAAAAATCAATAATCACAAATCCGGTGATTCCCCATACTTTTCCATATGCTCTGTAGTTTCGGATTCCCCCCCCACTTCCCATGTTTTCCCATGCTTTCCAGCTGATCGAGGATTAGTTGTGTCTGTGTTTCTGTCCCCTCCTGAGCTTTTCCAGGAATAGCTTCTCATCTCAAGTCGCTGCTTGGATGGCACAAATGGGAAAGGAAACGGCCATCGAATGACGCATTGTTTGCGACTTCCCGATCTGAGGGAACGTTGGCGGCGTCGTCGACGACGGCAGTGACGTGCGACGTCATCGTCGACGACGATGACGATGACCTCGACGTGGACGACGGCGACAACGACGTCGTCGGTGACGTCGTCTGCGTGGCCTAATGTTACACGTCTCCACCTTCTGGAGAGCCGGATGTCCCAAGTTCGCAGGAGGCGGTGAATATGGATAGTTCTAGATTCGGGCCCCATGGCCCCGGGGCGGCCCAACGTTCCTGTCCACATCCGCTGCATCCCGAGGCCCAGGAAGGTTGGTTCCCACGGCGGTGGAGATGTACAAACACCAGCCCTGGGGCGTCGTCATCGACGACGACGCCAGTGGACAAAGAAGAAGAACACCTGCACAATCATGCAATGGCGGAGGTCCTTGCGTATTTTTCGGATCGGCGCTGGACCCCCCTCCCTGGCGTGCGGAGCGCACGAAGTGCGGCGTAGGAAAAGATGCCAAAGGGTTGTGGCGCAGACACAAGACATCCGCGAGAGACTCCAGAAACTAATTGTGATTCGCGACCCCGTAGGGCAAACGTGGACATGCTCAGCTTTTCTTTTCGGCGCATGTCCGCGAAAGTAGACCAGCGCGTTCCCCTACTCGCAGAGCAACTACTCGCAAATGGCCCGGATCAGCCGCGGGGGATGTACGATAGAAGACGTGCGTTTGTCGGACGCTTGCGAGGTTGGCACTTTGCGAGTCGGGGAACGCACTCGGCGACGCTCGCGCACGAAGAGGGCAAGATGGGGTGGGGGAGGCCAGCAGCCCGCAACCCGACAACTTGGGTGTTGTTAGATTTGGAGTTAGGTCGGGCATGCCCTCCTACAGGCAGGTTGTGGAAGACAAGTAAAACATCGTCAGCAAAATAACCAAACAACTGATCGAACAATCGTCCCCAGACTGTATTTTGATTAATCTTGAATGTTCCTCCTGTAGAGGGAGATGCCCGACGTGAATTCAGAGATGAGAGCTGCAACCCGCCTCGCAGACCCTGCCTACCGTTGCCACCGGGCCCCGCGGACCCCAGCGTTCCCTGGCTGCAGTCGGCCCGTATCACAAGGACGCACGATAAAGATGCAAGGGCCTTGGAAAGCCGTTTCGAAGCTTTGCGAGCGGGGCGCGGCCAACGAAAGTGGCCAAGGATAGACTGAGGAGGCACGGATGCAAGGGTACCCTTGGGCAGGTTGCCCATCCTTACCATGCAGGTCGACTGTCCCGCTGCCACCAGGCACCGCGGAACCCAGCACTCCCTGGCTATCCCACCCCGTGCCCTCGACGAGTGGCGACAACAGACCGCGGCCGCCAGGCCCAAAACGTGCGACTGTTCCTGGCTCCCACCTAGTCCCATGTCCTGAGATCCGAGGTTTTAAACACATCATGAAAGCAATCACGACCAGAGCCATAGACCCCATCGTTCTGCAGCACTTCCCACGCCGGATCGATATGTGATGACCCTGGGGTCCGCAACTGGGCGGAAACGCCCGGCGTGACACAATGGCAACGCCCAGATCTCGGGGTCCGGCGGGATATGCTCGAAGCAAGATTCGCCACCGTGCCTCTGGGCACAGAGTAGGCGTGTCCGCAGGCCCTTTTGCCAAATCCCTGGAGCCCCAATCCTCAATCCTGAGGAGTCTGTAAGGGGCTCCGACTAAAATTCCGAAATCGCTTGGGGATTCCCTCGTGCCCTCTGGGCTCGGGCGCATCTTGTCGCCTGACTTTTCGGGGCCCATGAGGGCCCCAAGACGGGCCAAGAGGGGCCCCAAGAAGCCCCGATCACTTTCCATGAGAGGCTCCCCAAGAGGCCCCCCAAGAAGGCCCCCAGAGGCACACATCACTCAATAGCCCTATGGGATTTGAATGTGTTTGGATTTCTCGCCTGTTCGGGTTCCCGACGCTCCAAGACGGCCCAAGAGGCCCCCAAGATCGCCCCAAGACCCCTAGAGGCCCCCGAGAGAACCGAACGAGGCCCCGAAACTGCACCCAAGGCGCCTCAAAACTGCCCCCAAAGAAGCTCCCGAGAGGCCTCCCACGAGATCCCAACGAACATCCAATGGTTTTCATACCCACAACCCAGGCACGGTGGCGGGATGGGCCGAAGGCCATGAGATCCGCCGCCCCCTGCTTGCAGGGGTGCACGGCGTGCTGGACGTTTCAGGTTTTGGTTTTGGTTCTTTTTCTAAAAGAATCGAAGACGCCTACGGCGAATCACCGCCGCCCCCTGCCTTTTTGGAAGCGCCTATGTGGCCGAACGTTGAGGCCAGACCTGCCAAGCTATCGGACCACGTGTTCCCCGAATCGGTTTGGAAAGCCTTCGGGGAACACGTGGGCATCTTGAAGGTCATCTTGGCCGTCTTGGAGGCCTCTTGGGCAAGCTTTGGGCGATCTTTGGGGCTTTTTGGGCCGTCTCGGGCCAGCTTCGAGCCAACTTCGGCCATCTTGGTGGGTTCCTGGCACGTCTGAAGCCGTCGGAAGCCGTTTGGGGGGCCTCTATGGGCCGACTTGGGGCCCGCTTGGAATGCTCCAGGGCCGTCTTGGAGGCCATCTTGGGCGTCTGGGAGGCCATCTTGGGCGTGTTGGAGGCCTCTTGGGCCCTCTTGGGGCCCTCTAGGGGCCATCTTGGAGGCCACTTGGGCCATCATGGGGCTCTCTTGGGGGCCTCTTGGGCGATCTTGGGGGCTTCTTGGGCCGTCTTGAGCCGTCGGAGAGCCGAAAAGGCGCAAATGCCAAAATCCTTCAAAAACCAAGGGAAAATCAATGATTTTGGCCTCTTCGGACTCTCCTGGAGGACCTCTTGGAGGCCTCTTGGGCCGTCTGGGAGGCCTCTGGGGGGCCTCTTGGGCCGTCTTGGGCCGTCTTGGACTCTCTTGGGCCGTTTTGGAGGCCGTCTTGGACCGTCTTGGAGGCATCATAAGGCCATCTTAGCCGTCTTAGAGACCATCCTGGCCGTCTTAGAGGCATCTTGGAGGCCATCTTGGAACCGTCTGGGGCAGGAAATTGGGGAATTGAGCTCCTGGGCATCCTTTCCGGGTGGCCGGCGGGACGGGCCGAAGCCCACTGGGGAGTTCTTTTAGAAAAAGAACCAAAACCAAAACCTGAAACGTCCAGCACGCCGTGCACCCCTGCAAGCAGGGGGCGGCGGACTCCCCAGTGGGCTTCGGCCCGTCCCGCCGGCCACCCGGAAAGGATGCCCAGGAGCTCAATTCCCCAATTTCCTGCCCCAGACGGTTCCAAGATGGCCTCCAAGATGCCTCTAAGACGGCCAGGATGGTCTCTAAGACGGCTAAGATGGCCTTATGATGCCTCCAAGACGGTCCAAGACGGCCTCCAAAACGGCCCAAGAGAGTCCAAGACGGCCCAAGACGGCCCAAGAGGCCCCCCAGAGGCCTCCCAGACGGCCCAAGAGGCCTCCAAGAGGTCCTCCAGGAGAGTCCGAAGAGGCCAAAATCATTGATTTTCCAATGGTTTTTGAAGGATTTTGGCATTTGCGCCTTTTCGGCTCTCCGACGGCTCAAGACGGCCCAAGAAGCCCCCAAGATCGCCCAAGAGGCCCCCAAGAGAGCCCCATGATGGCCCAAGTGGCCTCCAAGATGGCCCCTAGAGGGCCCCAAGAGGGCCCAAGAGGCCTCCAACACGCCCAAGATGGCCTCCCAGACGCCCAAGATGGCCTCCAAGACGGCCCTGGAGCATTCCAAGCGGGCCCCAAGTCGGCCCATAGAGGCCCCCCAAACGGCTTCCGACGGCTTCAGACGTGCCAGGAACCCACCAAGATGGCCGAAGTTGGCTCGAAGCTGGCCCGAGACGGCCCAAAAAGCCCCAAAGATCGCCCAAAGCTTGCCCAAGAGGCCTCCAAGACGGCCAAGATGACCTTCAAGATGCCCACGTGTTCCCCGAAGGCTTTCCAAACCGATTCGGGGAACACGTGGTCCGATAGCTTGGCAGGTCTGGCCTCAACGTTCGGCCACATAGGCGCTTCCAAAAAGGCAGGGGGCGGCGGTGATTCGCCGTAGGCGTCTTCGATCCGCCGCCCCCTTTTGATTCATCAAAGGGGTGCCTGGCGTGTGTACACCCTCTGGGTTTTGGTTTTGGCCCTTTTCCCCAAAGAACTCCCCCCTGGGGCTTCGGCCCGTCCCGCCGGCCACCCGGAAAGGATCTTAAAACCTGGTTGCAAAGATTTTCCCTGCTCCAGATGGCTCCAAGACGGCCCAAGATGATGCATCCAAGACGGCTAAGATGGCCTCCAAGACGGCGAAGATGGCTCCAAGATGCCTCCCAGACGAATTAAGATTCATCCAAGACGGCCTAAGATAGCCTCAAGATGGCCCCAGACGGCCCAAAAGGCCTCCAAGAACGTCGACGACGCGTCGAAGAGGTCCTCCAGGAAGGCCCGAAGAGGCCAAAATCATTGAATGTCCTTAGGTTTTTTAAGGATTTGGGGATGTGCGCCTCTTCGGCTGTCCGACGGCCCAAGACGGCCCAAGAGGTCCCCAAGATCGGCGCAACATCGTCCCAGAGGCCTCCAAGATGGCCCCATGACGGCCCGAGAGGCCTCCAAGACGGCCCCAACAGGGCCCCAAGGCGGTCCAAGAGGCTCCCAAGACGCTCAAGATGGCCTCCAAGACGCCCAAGATGGCCTCCAAGATGCCTCCAAGACGGGCAAGATGGCCTCCAAGACGGCCGGGATGGCCACACGACATCTCCAAGACGGCCCAAGATGCACCCAAGGCGGCGCTAGATGGTCCCAAGAGGCCCTCAAGAGGCATCCAAGATGGCCCAAGAGGTCTCCAAAAGCTCCTCCAGGAAGGCCCGAAGAGGCCAACCTTATTGATTTCCCGTAGGTTTTTGGATGACTTTTGCATTTGCGCCTTTTCGGCTTTCCGACGGCCAAAGATCGCCCAAGAGGCTCCCAAAGTCTCCCCAAGATCGCCAAAGAGGCCTCCAAGATGGCCCCATGACGGCCCAAGAGGCTCCCAACACGGCCCCAAGATGTACCCAAGACGGCCTTGGAGCATTCCAAGAGGGCTCCAAGTCGGCCCATAGAGGCCCCCCAAACGGCTTCCGACGGCGTCAGACGGACCAGGAGCCCACCAAGACGGTCGAGCATGGCCCTAAGATGGCCCAAGACGGCCCAAGAGGCCTCCAAGAGGGCCTCCAGGAAGGCCCGAAACGGCCAAGATCATTGATTTCCCATGGATTTTTGAACCGCCGCCCCCTGTTGGCTTGCCACAGGGTTGCCCGGCGCGCTAGACCCTTTCGGTGTTGGTGTTGGTTCTGGTTCTTTTTCCCAAATAACTCCCACTGGGGCTTCGGCCCGTCCCGCCAGCCACCCGAAAGGGATCCCAATCCCGCAAAAAAATCCTCCAAGACGGCTCAAGATGGCCTCCAAGATGGCCACGTTGGCCCAAGATAGCCTCCAAGATGGTCCAAGGTGACCTCCAAGTTCGCCCAAGATGGTCCAAGACGGCCTCCAAGACAGCCAAAGAAAGTCCAAGATACCTCCAAATTCGCCCAAGAAGCCTCCAAGACGGCCCAACACGACCCAAGAGGCCTCCAAGAGGTCCTCCAGGAGAGCCCGAAGAGGCCAAAACCATTGATGTTCTATACTTAGGTTTCTGAAGGATTTCGGCATTTGTTTCTTCTCGGCATTCCGACGGCTCAAGACGGCCCAAGAGGCCCCCAAGATCGCCCCAAGATCGCCATCGAGGCCTCCAAGATGGCCCCTATGACGGCCCAAGAGGCCCCCAAGAGGGCCCCAAGAGGGCCCCAAGACGACCCAAGAAGCCTCCAAGACGCCCAAAATGGCCTCCAAGGCGGCCCTGGAGCACCCCAGGAGGGCTTCCAATCGGCCCGGAGAGGCCCCCAGGACTGCTTCCGAAGGCGTCGGACGGGCCAGGACTGCCTTTAGACTGTCAAAGAGGCCCCCGAGAAGCCCCCAAAGGCCCCCAAGAGGCTCAAGGAGGGCCCCCGAGATGCCTCCAAGAGGCTCCCAGGAAGCTCACAGGAGGCCCCAAGAGTGCCCCCAGAGGCTCCCAAGATGCCACGTCCTCCTCCTCCCTCCTCCTCCTCCTCCTCCTCCTCCTCCTCCTCCTCCTCTCCTCCTCCTCCTCCCCTCTCCCGTCCTTCTCCTTCTCCTCCTCTTCCTCCTCCCCCTTCTCCTCCTCTTCTCCTTCTGCTCCTCCTCCTCCTCCTTCTCCTCCCCTGATCTTCCCCGCCATCCCCCTCCCCAAGTGTTCCCCGAAGGGTTTCCACGGTTTGGGGAACACATGGACCGATAGCTCGGCAGAGCTCTTGCAACAATGCTCGGACACATGGGCGCTCTCAAACCTCTTGCTCCCCAACGCGTTCCCCGAAGCCTCTCCAAACCGACTCGGGGAACAACTGGGCCGATAGCTTGGCCAAGCTCTAGCCCAGCTGTAGGCCACGTTGGCACTTCCACAATGGCAGGGGGCGGCGGTGATTCGCCGTGGGCGTCTTTGATAGTATGTTGACTGAAATAAAGTATGCGTAACCATAATCCCACCAGCCCTTTAGGACGAGAGTGGGTCGAGCGTCCCTTTGGGGAGGGCTTTACCCCTCCCCCTACCCCCTCTGGAGCTATACGGGGGGTTCCGCGAGGCGTTGGAGCGTCCAAGATGGCCTCGGCGAGAAGGCCAACATGATTAATTAGACTAAGCTTTTGGGCCACTGTTGGCCTCCCGTGGGGGGGCCTCTAATTAACTACCCCCCCTGCTTTGGCCGATCTCCTCCAAGATGGCCCCCAAGTCTCCCAAGGGTGTCCCAAGACGGCCCCAAGAGGCGCACAGGAGGCCCCAGGAGGCCCCAAGAGGCCCCAAGAGGCTCCCAAGAGACCCCCAATAAGCCCCATGATGCCCCCCCCCGAGGCACCCAAGACGCTCCACGAGGCCCCAGGGACCGCCAAGAGGCCGCCCCAAACGCTCGAATTGGACCCCCAAGAACCTCTCAAGAGACATCCGAAGAGACACCGAGAGACATCCAAGAGGCCTCTGGCCTTTCTGCTCGCCCTCCTCCTGCTCCTCTTCCTCATCCGCGTAATCCTCCTCCCTCCTCCTCCCTCCTCCTCCCTCCTCCCTCCTCCCTCCTCCCTCCTCCCTCCTCCTACCTCCTCCTCCTCCTCCTCCTCCTCCTCCTCCTCCTCCTCCTCCTCCTCCTCCTCCTCCTCCTCCTCTGGGTCTCCTCTATCCTCCCCCTCTTGGAGTATCACGGTTTCCCAGCTTTTATACCATTGCGTATTCCCCCGCATGCCTGATCAGGGCAACTCGCCTGGGCATCGTTTCTGGATGGGCTGGTGAGTTTGCGCGACGCATCTAGTTTTTTTCGGGTGTCCGCACGGACTCCCTGGATCGGCGGTGGACTCCCCTCCCTGGCGAGTGAAGCGGGCCAGGGGCGGCGCCGGAGGCGCCGCCAAGGCGGCTCAACGTCGATCCAAGAAATTAGGATCACGCAGTCTCTGGCTCCGCTGGGCAGCTTTATTTCTGTTGCTTCGAACGATCCCCACCCGACTCGGTCGAGGGTGGCGGCGGCTAGGCGGGGCCTCGAGCTGCGCCTGCTCCATGTGGGTCTGCGCCGCCAGGCACAGGATGGTGCCGGGGGCCCGCCGCGCCACCTCCTGGCGGGGCGCGCACCGCGGCCGCTCGGGGGGCATCGGCCCCCCGCGCGCCTCCTCTCGGGGCCTCCTTGTCCTCCGCCTCCGCTTCCTCCTGCCTCCTCCTCGCCACTCCGCCCCTCCTCCTTCTCCTGCCTCTTCCCTTTCCCCCCCTCTTCCTCCTCCTCCTCCTCCTCCTCCTCCACCTCCTCCTCCTCCTCATTGTCCTCCATATCCTCCCCTTCCTTCATCTCCGCCTCCACCTCCTCCACCTCCACCTCCGCCATCTCCTCCTCCTCCTCCTCCTCCTTCTCCTCCTCCTCCTCCTCCTCCTCCTCCTCCTCCTCCTCCTCCTCCTCCTCCCTTCTCCTCCGCCACCTCCTCCTCCATTTCCACCTCCACCTCCACCTCCGCCTCAACCTCCGCCTCCTCCTCATCCTCCTCATCCTGTCGTCCTCGAGGAGCATCCCACCGCCCGCCGCCGACCCGTGGACAGCGCGGCCGGCGACGACGACGGCGGCGGCGCGACGCCCACGCTGACGACGATGGTGGCGACGACGGCGAAGGCGGCAGCGACAATGGCGACGGCGACGGCAACGGTGGCGACCCCGATGCCAGCGACGGCGGCGACGTCGGCAGCGACGACGGCGACGGCGGTGGCAGGGGCGGCGGCGGCGGCGGCAGCGACGCCGACGCCAATGCTGAGGACGACGGCGGCGACGTTGGCGAGGGCGGCGGCGGCGACGGCGCGCGGCGGCGAGGGCGGCGACGGCCCCGCAGGGGGGGGGGGGCGTCCTCGAAGGGGACCCGGTGGGTGATGTCCAGCAGGTTCCCGTTCTGGGCGGCGGACCGCAGGGCCACCTGCGGGCTCGCCCCGCTCCTCCCGCCGAACGTTGCCCACGCCCCGTGGAGACAAGGGCTCCGCATGTCGCGCTTCGCGCTCCGCAGAGCGCGATCCTGGTCGCGCTCTCGCGCTCCTGCTCCTCCCTCCTCCTCCTACTCCTCCTCCTCCTCTCTCCTCCTCCTCCTTTCCCTCCTCCTCCTCCTCCTCCTGCCTCCTCCTCCTGCCTCCTCCTCCTCCTTCTCCTCCTCCTCCTCCTCCTCCTGCTCCTCCTCGTCCTCCCCCTCCTCCTCCTCCGCGACCAACTTTCGCGCTCTCGCGCCGCCCCCCAGGCAGGGAAAAAGAGGATGAAAAGGAGTCGCGACCGAACCGCGAACCGCGAACCGCGAAGCGCGAACAGCTTCGGGCCCTCGAGGGCGCTCTTGTGGAGATCGTGTGTCATTCTTTCTGGTGGCGGTCGATGCCCAAGGGGGGGAGGGCCTGGGCCCCCGGCCCCCCGGGGGGGGACGGTAACGCCTGGGCGGGTCGGGGCTCGTCGGGTCGGGACTGCGCTGCGATCGCCACAGCTTGCGCGCGAGCACCAGCATGTGGGGGGGTTGGGGGCAGTCCCCCCGCCCACGTACGATCGTTACCGTCACCAGGGGGGTGCGTGGGCATACCACTGAATGATCCGAATGCAGACAGGAAATTCATAAACCAAACCCATATTTCTAGGACGTACCACCGGCGTCTTCAAACAAGACTGCCTTAGCCTGGAATAGGCGATTGATCCACAACATGGTTCCCAATTCTCTAAGAATGAAGCTGTGCTGGTGAGCACACAGACGCTTCGTCACCGATTGAGAATACAGTAACGTGTCACCGAACAAAATGCAGAATCAACGCCCACCAGCGAGTGCTTCGCTTCCGGGTAAAGGGAAGACGGCACGGGACCAGATTCTGCGAGAGCGCCGCCATGCGTGACAGGAAGTGCGCGCGGGGGGGGGGGAAATAACAGAACGCGCGTTGGGAAGCGGTACGAGGTCATCTGGCAGCTGTATTGTCGCCAAGGGGCGCGCAGCGCGCAGAGAAGAGTCGAGAAATTGTACACGACGAGTCGTGGCAGTGCAGAAATTCAGAGCCAGGAGCTGTGCAAACCACCGCGCCATGCGTACCAGGATCGGCGGCGAACCGGGGGGGACAGCGAGAAGGGGCGGGTCTTCTCAGAAGACTCGGAAGTCCCCCAGCCTTCGGACAAGTTTCCAGAAGCCTTCTCAGAAAGCGCGAGGTCGTCTGAGAAGTCCAGCCGCCTTCTGAGAAGGCCGTTTCCTTCTCACTTCACCCCTCGCTTGCCGCCGACAGGAGGCATGAGAGGACAGCTGCCACCACCAGAGGGTGATCATCATTCCTCCGAACAGTTTGTAGCGGCGCCCTGGGTATGCCAAGCGGCAAAAAACGTTGCACCCAAACCCGCCTCCGCCGCCGCCGATGGGCAGGCGGTGCTCGTCCCAAGTAAAAAGCGTCCGTAGGACGCAGGCAGCGAATCCTGTTCAAAGTGGACAAAGCATCGTTCCCGTTCATTCCGTCCTATGGTGTAGTCGGCGGCGCGCCCGCGTGAGAAGTGAACAGGAGCAGGCCTTCCCAGAAGGCGGCGGGGCTTCTCGGAAGCTCTCTGGCCTTCTGACACGTGTTCTGCGTCTTCGGGGGAGGCTTAGAATACCAACAAGAAAACCCGGGGCCTTCCGAGCCTTCTGAGGAGGCCCGCCCCCTCTGCCTATCCCCCCAGGGTCGCCGCCGATGTAGGTCCTCCTGATCGACGCGGCGACGATGCTGGCAGGAGAGCCCAGAGTCGAATCGAGAAGTCGGATCGGCGATCGAAATGAATCGGATCGGCGGAACTCGGCAGCCGAGTCGGGAGAAATCGAATCGGCTGACATCGGCAGGCTCGTACGCCTCCAATGAAGAATCTGAATCGAAATCGGCATCCGAAATCGAAACGAATCGGAATCGGAAATCGAGTCGAATCGGGAGGAATCGAAACGATCCCTGTACTGGCCGCTGCGGCCTGACCCCCTGGAGCCGAGACTGCAGCGGATTGCCGCCACCGCCGCGGGGCTGCCAAGGGAGGCCCCAGGGTCTCAAACTGCGCACTTCGGCAGCTGCTCCCCGTCGCCTGGACTCCGCGGCCACCACTCGGGTCCCCAGCGGCCGCTCGGGGCGAAACCCGGGCACTCTCAGAACGCCCTCGGCGAGGCGCAGCTGCTGGAGAGCACCCCGAGGGCTGGAGAACCCAGAAAAAGAAACTATCCTGGCGAAGGACCCAACCATATGCACTTGTGAGTACCGCAAGTGTGAATATCTTCTTCGGTGGCGCTCCATATGGGGCCACGAAAATATGGGTGGCCACGAAACGTGTGCGGGGTGTGCCGAAATGGGTGTGCGGGACGCATGCGGGCACACCCACTGGGACCTTCGGTGGAGCTCCCTATGGGGCCACGAAGCGTGTGAGGGGTGTGCCGAAATGGGTGTGCGGGACGCATGCGGCGGCAGCACTGGGGCCTTCGGTGGAGCTCCCTGTGGGGCCACGAAACGTGTGAGGGGTGTGCCGAAATGGGTGCGCGGGACGCATGCGGACGGCAGTGTGAGGGGTCACGAAACGCGTGAGAGGTGTGCCGAAATGGGTGTGCGGGACGCATGCGGGCACACCCACTGGGGCCTTCGGTCCCTTTGGACCACGAAACTGTGTATGAGTATGCCGAAATGGTGTGCGGGAACGCACGCGCACAGCCACTGGGACCTTCGGCGGACTCCCTCGAAACTGTGAGGGGTTCCGAATTGGGTGTGCGGGACGCATGCGGCGGCAGCACTGGGACCTTCGGTGGAGCTCCCTGTGGGGCCACGAAACGTGTGAGGGGTGTGCCGAAATGGGTGTGCGGGACGCATGCGGGCGGCAGCACTGGGGCCTTCGGTGGAGCTCCCTATGGGGCCACGAAACCGTGTGAACGGTGTGCCGAATTGGGTGTGGCTGACGCATGCGGGCGGCGGCACTGGGGCCTTCGGTGGAGCTCCCTATGGGGCCACGAAACGTGTGAGGGGTGCCGAAATAAGTGCGGACGCATGCGGCACACCGGGCACACCCACCCGACCTTCAGAATGCTCCCGTTGAGGCCACGAAACCGTGTGAGGGTGTGCCATTGGTGTGCGTGACTGCATCGGGCGGCAGCTCTGGACTTCGGCGAGCTCCCTATGGGGCCACGAAGCGTGTGAGGGTGTGCCGAATTGGTGTGCGTGACGCATGCCGGCGGCAGCACTGGGCCTTCGCGGAGGCCCCTTTGGGGCCAGCGAAAAACGTGTGATGGGTGTGCAGATTGGGTGTGCGTGACGCATGCGGCGCAGCCTGGGGCCTTCCGGCGGTGCTCCCTATGGGGCACGAAGCGTGTGAGGGTGTGCCGAATTGGTGTCGTGAGCATGCGGGCGGGCAGCACTGGCCTTCGGCGACTCCCTATGGGCACGAAGCGTGTGAGGGTGTGCCCGATTTGGGTGCGCGTACGCATGCGGGCGGCACACTGGGAGCCTTCGGCGGAGCTATCCCCATGGACACGAAACAGTGAGGGGTGTGCCGAAATGGGTGTGCGTGACGCAATGCGGGCGGCACACTGGGGCCTTCGTAAGAGCTCCCTTTGACTCACAAACGTGTTGTGGGGTGTGCCCGATGTGGGTTGCGTGTTCCAGGCGGGCGGCACACTGGGCCTTCCCATCCCTCGGGGAGCTCCCTAATGGCCACGAAACGTGTGAGGGTGGTAGCCCGAATTGGGTGTGCGTGACGCATGCGGGGCGGAAAAAAAAGCCACTGGGCCTTCGGCGGAGCGCCTATGGGTCACGAAACGTGGCCGAGGGGTGTGCCGAATTGGGTGTGCGTGACGCATGCGGGCGGCAGCACTGGGGCCTTCGGCGGAGCTCCCTATGGGGCCACGAAGCGTGTGAGGGGTGTGCCGAAATGGAGGAGGGAGGAGGGAGGAGGGGGAGGAGAGGAGAGGAGAGGAGAGGAGAGGAGAGGAGAGGGGAGAACGTGGGGCGACGTCTCTTCAAAACGAGGACCCAACACCACAGGATGGTTGGGAACAACGCCATAAACATAAACTGTTGGCGCTCCGCCCGGTCCGCGCGGAGCGCCAAAAGTTTCTGCTTGTGGCTCCTCCTCTCCGATGGAGCACCGCCGAGAGCTGACGCGCACCTCCCGAGAACCTCGGCGCCCGACCCAGGGCCACCTCGGCGCCCCCGCGCCGCCAACAGGGAAGCCGGAAGACGGCTCGTCGGCCCAGAACGGCGGGGCGCGCGCGCGTGCGCGCGCTCCTGCCCGGCAGCGGGCCCCCACCAGGCCCACACAGCTGCTGCTGGGTGTTTCGCGCCTCGCCTTGGCCGTGTCCTCTAGAATGGAGGCCAAACTCCAAGAAGCCTTCCTCAAGAAACCCAACCCTGAGACCCTCCTCCTCCTCCTCCTCCTCCTCCTCCTCCTCCTCCTCTTCTTCCTAATCATAATCTGCCTCCTCCTCCTCCTCCTCGTCCTCGTCCTCCTCCTCCTCCTCCTCTCCCCTCCTCTCGTCCTCCTCCTCCTCCTCCCCCTCCTACTCCTCCTCCTCCTCCTCCTCCTCCTCCTCCTCCTCCTCCTCCTCCTCCTCCTCCCACACCAAAAATCAATGGACGGAGGACGTCCATGGATTTTTGGTGTGGGAACGGCACGCTTCCCGTCGAGAAATCATCAAAACCCGAGAAACCCACCCGGCGCAAGCAGGGTGTTTCCTCGCATGCTGCACCGCGCGCGAATGCAAGATCAGTCAGCATCGAACAGGTGAACCGGATCGGATCCAACTGTGCACATCAGATCGGGCTGCACCGGCACGGGGTCGGCAACGGATCGGATGGGTGGTGCCGGGATGCACAACAGCGCCATGCAGGCATCGGGCCAGATCGGATCGCCCGACAGTCGACCTGGCATCAGCGAAACATCGCCGACTGATCGGCGATGAGCGCCCGATGAGAAATCCGTGCCGTCCTGGGCGGGTGCGGATGATCGGGCCCCTATCGGCGATGAATGGGCGGCGGGAGTCGATGCATTTTCCCCCGAGCCTCTCCCCCCCGCTGCCGGCCCGCCTCGACGTCTTGGACCCGCCCGTGCAGCAGCGTCGCCCTGGTCGGCAGCCGCTTGCCAGCGTTCCGCGCCAGCGTGATGCCCCCGGACCTGCCACCCCCGCGGCACCCATTACAGCAACGTCATTCGGCGACGCGCCTTGGGGGAAGTAAGAGGAGGCAGGCCTGATCTAGGGAACAAACACATACATAAACATGAAAACTCGGAAGCCCGCGCGGATTTCTCGGATCCGCGCTGCACCCCCCTCCCTGGTGCGCGGAGCGCGCCAGGGGGGTCCACCGCCGATCCGAGAATTCCGCGCTGACCTCAGAGTTTTTATGTTTACGTCATTCTCAGTTCCTCTATAAATGAAGGGGCCCCAGAACACACAAATAAATACACACAAATAACGGGATTCCCCAATATTTTCCATATTTTCTGGGTTTCTATCTTCCCCCCCCACTTCCCATACTTTCCAATATTTTCTTGGGAATCGACGATTAATTGTGCCTGCGTGTTTTTTCCCCTCCTAAGTCATTCTCCGTCCCTCTATAATGAGGAGGCAGGCCTGCTCGGAAGGCGGCGGGGCCTCGCGGGAGCCCGTCGGCCCTCTCGGAAGCCGCCCCCGCTCCCGGAGAGGGCAGCGGAAGACTCGCCAGACGGCCGGCGGCCGAGCCTTCCGTTACGTCGGGCGTGTGCCTCTACAGGTGGAATCGGAAAAAATACTTAAAACATACTCTGGGGACTGTTTCTGGACTATGTTGAGCGTTTTGTGAGTACTTTGGATAGATCTAATTTTTCGCCCAAAATCCCCCTGTAGGGGGACAGGCCCGACTCTCGCCTTCCGAGAGGGGGCCCGCCCCCTCTGCCTCCCCCCCGGGCTCGCCGCCGAGTCATCGCCCTCGCTGCCGTCGTCGACTCAGGGGCGCAGGGGCCCACGAAAGGGGAGAGTCTAGGGGATCGACTGCAGACATGACTTGCCCGAGTAGGGGCTCGACGACGGGATTGATGTACTCCTAAAAGGATCGTTTATCGAACCCACGAAACGGAGACGCAATGCTGGCACTCCACGAGCTCACTACCAGGCCAGGCAAAAACAGACATCCAGCGGTGACTCCATTCTGTGGCTGATGTCCTGCTCGAGAGGCATGGGTAGGGGAACGAAAAATGACATAAACATAAGAACTCGGAGGTCCGCGCGGATTTCTCGGATCCGCGCTCGAGTCCCCTGGCGGCGCCTCCGGCGCCGCCCCGCCGCGCCAGGGAGGGGGGTCCAGCGCGGATCCAAGAAATCCGCGCGGACCTCCGAGTTGTTTATGTTCATGTCATGTTTCGTTCCCCTGATGGGGCCGCCGCAGCCCGCGGAGACGAGGATCTGGGGCACTCGGCGGCGGGGGGGGGCCTCGGGGCCACGCCGCCTGGAGAGGCACGGGGCGCCCGACCCGAGGCACCCGACAGGGGGGCCGACTCGCGGACGCTTGGGATCGAGGACAAAGGACCCCTTCGAGGATGGGGATCCTTGCAGGGGGCCTGGGACACACAAATATTTACACACACAAATAAAGGGATTCCCCATATTGGAGAGAGCGTGATCCTTCGCCGCTTTACTGTGGAAAATTGCCGCCTTTTTCCTCCGGAACCCCCGTCCCCCCCCCCCCTCCGAACCCCCCCCCTGCTGGAACCCCCTCCCCCCCCCTCCCTCCCCCTCCCCCGGCAACCCCCCCCCCCCCCTCCCCTAACCCCCCCCCCCCTCGAACTCGAAAACCGGGGGGGGTCACTACCAGTTCGAAACCCCCCCCCCCTCGAAAACTGGAGGGGGGGGGTCACTACCGGTTCGAACCACTGAGCTGTCCCACTGTTCCCACCACTGTCCCCACTGTCTCTACCACTGTCCCCAACCTCTGTCCCATTGTCCCACCGCCGTCCTCGCCACCGCCTTCACCACTGTCCCCCCCACCACTGTACCATCCACTGTCCTACTGTTTCCACCACATTCCCACTGTCCCCCCCCCCACTGTCCCCACCACCACCGTCCCCACCACTGTCCCACTGTCCCCACTGTTCCCACCATTGTCCTGACCATTGTCCCCACCGCTACCGTCCCCACCACTGTCCCACTGTCCCCACCACTGTCCCGCTGTCCCCTCACCACTGTCCCCACCACCACCGTCCCCACCACTGTCCGCACCCCCCCTTCGGTTTTCGAGGGGGGGGGGGTTCGAACCGGTAGTGACCCCCCCCGGTTTTCGAGCTCGAGGGGGGGGGGGGGGTCGAACCGGTATGACCCCCCCCCCTTTTCATGATGAACTGGGGGGGGGGGAGGGGTTCGAACCGGTACTTCGAGAATGGTGGCTCTTACGCTAGTTGCACCCTATGTATAAGTATCGCAAGTAACATAGCTACTTGCATGAGCTACTTATGGGTACTTACTAAGATACTTATAAGTAACTTAAGTTGATGTTCTTAAGTTACTTAAGCTAACACTATAAGATACTTATAAGTTACTTAGGGAAATGAAGCGATCGCGATCGCTTGGGAGGAGGAGGAGGAGGAGGAGAGCGATGTCGATCGCTGTGAGGGGGGGGAGGGGGGGGGGAGAGTGATGAGCGCGGCGGGGCGCGCGGCCTCCTCAGCGCGCGCGGCCGCGTCCTCAGTGTACGCGCGGCCTCCTCACCGCGCAGGGGGCTCACCCTCAGGGGCCGCCTCGCCGCCCTGCCCGTCGCGGAAGGCGGTCAAGCAGATCGCCTCCGCCTCGCTCAACGCCTGCAGCTCGGCCTGCTGTTGGAGCCGCCTGAGGACGCTGGAGTCGTTCCACCCATCCCCGCCCAGGGACGCGAGCAGCTCCACCAGCTCATCCTCGGTGGGAGGGCGCACGGTGGCGCTTTCGAACTCCCACGAACGCTGGACCTCCATTGCCTGCTCCCTCTCGGCCGACGGCTGCAACCTCGAGGCGCGGCCGCTTGGGTGGCGGCGGCGGCGCCGCGTCCTTGGAGGTGGCCGCAACGAAAGCGGCGGGCGACGGCATCTTGAAGAACTTCGCGTTGGCCATATTCGGCCACGGGCCGCCTCGCGGCAGCGGGACACTGGACGGCTTCGCGCCGACCAGCCCAGGTGGCAGCGGTTCCGAGGGGAGATCGCCCATGACGCGCCCCCTCCTGCGCGCGCGCGCGCCGTCGCTTGGCCGCGAGCGCCCCGTGCGTCACTCGCGAGGCGAGCCGAAACGGCTGAGCAATCGCCGTCATCGCGAGCCCATCGTCGCCAACGCCCGCCCGAGCGATCGCCATCGCTCCACCCATATTCCCACCCGCGCCCGAGCGATCGACATCGCTCTCCTCCTCCTCATCATCGTCATCCTCCTCTTCCGATCGGCATCGCTCTCTTGCTCCTCATCCTCCTCCTCCTCCTCGCGGCGATCGAGATCGCGAGCCCCCCTGGCTGCCTATGCAAATCCCGCGGCCCCACTGGTTGCCCATGCACATCGCGATCGGCATCGCTACTCCTCCTCCTCCCTCCGCAGCCCCCTGGCTGCCCATGCAGATCCTGCTCCTCCTCATCCTCCTGCTCCTGCTCCTCCTGCTCCTCCTGCTCCTCCTGCCCCTCCTCCTCCTCCTCCTCCTCCTCCTCCTCCTCCAAGCGATCGCCATCGCTACCTCCCCCAAGCGATCGACATCGATATCCCCCCCCAAGCTTCTTGTTGGCGCGCGCAGCCTCGCGCCGCCTCACTGCGGGGGCGCAGGCCGCGGCGGCGGGGGCGGCTCAGTCAGGGCGTCCGTGGACGACCCTGGGCGCCCGTCGCCGCCCGCGAGCCCCTCCTCACGGGGGGACCACGGCGGCGGAGGCGGCTTCGTCAGGGCGTCGGCCATGACCACCGCCGACGCCATGGCCGCCTCCGCCTCGGGGGCGTCGCACAGCCTCTGCAGGCGGATGATCGTCATCGCGTCCTGCTTGAGCTGCGCCAGCGCCGCCGCATGCACCGCGGCGCGGCGGCGCGCGACGCTCAGCAGCTCGGCGGCCCGATCCAGCTCGACGTCGCGCATGTCGATCTGGAGGGCCAAGTGCCGCGCCACCTGGGGGGGTCGTCGTCGTCGTCGTCGCCGCCGCCGCCGCCGTCGTCGTCGCCGCCACCGTCGTCGTCGTCGTCGTCGTCGTCGTCGTCGTCGTCGTCGTCGTCTCGTCGTCTCGTCTCGTCGTCGTCGTCTTATCCGCCTCCTCCTTCTCCGCCCGCAGCTGGGCGTTCGCCGCGCGCAGCTGCTCGACCTCCCCGCGCAGCTGCTCCACCTCCCCGAGCAGCCGCTCGGGCAAGCTCGCCTCATTCGTCGCCGTCTTCGTCGCCGTCGTCGCATCGTCGTCGTCGTCTCGTCGTCGTGCGCGGCCGCCTTCGGCCAGCTCGAGGCGCGCTTGCGCGCGGCCGCCAGGGGCAGCATCGCGCCTGCCCCGCGCGAGCCCAAGGGGCAGCAGCGCGCCAAAGCTGAACGGTTGCGCGCTGCGCGCAGTGATCTTATTTTCCTCCTCCCACCCCCCGCCCGTCTTCCAGCGATCGATATCGCTATCCTCCCTCCTCCGCCACCTCCTCCTCCTCCTCTTCCTCCTTCAAGCGATCGACGTCGCTTCACCTCACCCAGCGATCGGCATCGCTCGATTTTCTTTTCCGTCCCCCCCTCCTTCCAGCGATCGGCATCGCTTTCTCCCTCCCCCTCCTCCTCCTCCTCGTCCTCATCCTCCTCCTCTCATGTCCTCACCCAAGCGATCGGCATCGCTTCACCTCACCCAGCGATCGACATCGCTCCCCACACACACACACACACCGCGGCGCGGCGCATGTTTCCATATGTTTCTCAGCGCGCGTGCGCGATGACATAGTCACCGTTGCTCTTCACGCGCCACGCCCAGACAGCGCCATCCAGGTCAGCGTCGGACATCTTGATGACGAGGAGCTCGTTCACCACGCTGCCAGTGCTGAGGCCGCACGCGCCCGTTGAGATCTCGATCCCGCGGGCGACGATGTGCAGTTCGCCAGAAATCTCCGCGCACGCGTCGATGATAAACACCTCGCCGCCGCGCGAGCGAACCACCTGGCCCACGTTGTAGGCGTTCCCTTCCCAGCGCAGCCCCCTGGCCACGGAGACGTCGGCGGCCCCGACTACGGAGCGCAACCCGTCAGATTCGGCACGCGCTCCCACCGGCGAGTTGCCCGTCGGCCCCATCTTCTCGAGTTGCCGCACTTGCTGCAATACGCAGCCCGCGAGCGTCGTGGCCTCCATGCGCGCGGTGTTCTCCACTGGTTCGGCCACCGCCTTTGCCACCTTATTGTGGCGCTCCGTCACGAAGCAGTCGAGCTCTTTCGGCTCCTGCTCCGCGTTGTGAAACACGTAGTGGTGTTTGGGCTTCACGTATTTGGTGCCGTACGCCTGCTTGTGCAAGTTGAGATGGACTTCAGCCGCTGCAATGAAGTCACTGCGAGGGGGGGCACGCCCGCGCTTGACCTTCAGGAACGCGTCCGCCAGCAGGCCGCACGCCCGAAGGGACGCTATTTCGCGCTCGAGCGACCCGATGCGGACGGCGCGCTCCTCGGCGAACGCCAAAAGGACGAAGAAGGTCGAGATCAGCTCGCTGGCGCCTGCTTTGAATGATTTCTTGCACGCGGTCTCGTGCCCAGGCGTGAACATATGTTTTGCCGTTCTGCCGTGCGACCTCGGGAACTGCCAGCGCCGCGTGAACGCGTGAAGCTCGGGCCATCCGATGCCAGCTTTTCTCTGGCACGCCTTCACAAACGCGAACACCTCCCAGCCAACGGTGCCATTGCTCCATAGGTTGTGCATGCTGTCATACGTCATGGCGGACGGCTTCATTATCGCCCGCAATTCCTTATCCTCCAGCAAGCCATTGGGATGGTAGTTGAAGCCGCTGGCTTTGTCGAGCTTCTGGAAGTTGCCCTTCGTCATGTGGCCAGGCTGTCCCGCGGTCGCCGCCGCTGCGGCGAGGTCGTCCCACAGTTTCCACACGTCGGCGTCTGAATGACGATCGAAGCGCGCGTGCTCGTGACAACAGGTGTCGACGAAGTAGCCGCCGTCGCCGTCGACGGAACCGCCCTTCAAGATCACGTTCTTGCATCGCAAGCAAGGCCTCCAGCCGTTGGCACCCCGCAAACGCAGAATGCCTTTGAACGCATCCATGTCTGCGAGAAGATTGGAGAGGCGCGCCCGCACCAGCATCGGAGTGCCGTTGGCCAGCTCCACGTGCGCGCCAGCTCCCGCGAGCCTGGAGGATCCGAAGAACATCTCCCTGATGAGGAGTCGAGTGGCACAGGAGATGCCGCCGTCCACGCGATTGCTCGCTTTCGTTCGCAGACACCCCAGCGGTAGCCACAGCTCTTCCCTCCATAGCATGTCAGCCCCGAACTCCAGGAACGTGAAGAAGATCATCCAGAACTTCCGATCGTGCCTCAGGGCCAGCGCGTCGCCTGGTGTCACTTCGTCCATGTACAGCACCAGCGAGAGCGGCGCGCCGCGGACGCGGTTCGCGACCACCGCGAGAAGCTCACTGTACACGGGGCTGGCCTTGCAAACATACCGCAGGAGCTTGTCGATTCTGGCGAGCTTCCAAGCGAAGGGCGGCTCGTTATCTTGCATGGGCAATTCGATTGTCGCCCCGACGTCGTCGAATACGCCCTCAATGGTGGATTGGACCGCGTAAGCCGTCAGCTCTTGCGCATGGCCAGGCTTCGCGAGCTTCTTGGCGATGCGAACGAGGGCCTTGCCAGATACGCCATGCGTAGCGATGGCATCGGATAGCCGACGCCGCTTGGCCGCCTGAGGTCGCGGACATCGGATACCCGACTCCGCTTCGGGGCCATCGCGCCGCCGCTTGGGCATCGCGCCGCCGCTTGGCCACGAGCGACGCGCGTCACTCGCGAGTCGAGCCGAAACGGCTGAGCAACTAGCCCCCATCGCGAGCCCATCCTCGCCAACGCCCGCCCGAGCGATCGCCCTCGCTTCACCCCAGCGATCCCCATCGCTCCCCTCTCCCTAAGCGATCGCCATCGCTTCGCCCCAGCGATCCCCATCGCTCCCCTCTCCCTAAGCGATCGTCATCGCTTCGCCCCAGCGATCCCCATCGCTCCCCTCTCCACAAGCGATCGCCATCGCTTCACCCCAGCGATCCCCATCGCTTTTTTTATACACATGTGCGCCACCCACCAGCTGCGGGGCGGGGCGCGAAAGCGGGGCGGCGAGCGGCGTCAAAGCCTGCTGCTACCGCACGGCCGCACGCTGGTCCCAGCGCTGTAGCTGATGGCGGCGGGCCCTCACGAGGACTTCGCAGTCACAAGGTACGCCTTGGCCATCGACATCACCAGAGTGCTCTGCGCCGCCGCCTGCGTCGACATGTCGCTGACATCCTGGGCGGACCAAGTGAACTCCGAAGGTGCGACCTTGCCACTGCTGACTTTATGGGCGACCTTCTTCATCTTGGTCAGCGTGTCCATGAGCTTTTTCGCGTGAACCAGCGTAGCCTCGGGGATCTTCCCGACCCCGTCGCACTTGAGCGCCGACTCGAGCTTGTACATGGGCGCCACAATCCTGCTCAGGGTACGCGTGGCCAGGAGCTTCTGCTGCTGCGCCTCCTTGTCTTTCTTACTCTGCTCTTTCCTCTCCTGCTTCTCGCGCGCCGCGCGCTCCTTGGCGGTCTCGCCGACGCGCGGGTGCGCAGGCGACGAGCTCCCCGATTCGATGTCGCTGCCGCTCTGCGAGGAGCTGGTCGGTGGCTTCTGCTTCTTCATCTTCTTTGTCGAAGATTCGGCTGCCCCTTCGTTCGCCCGCTTCTTGCCCTTGGTCTTGCCATCGACCTTGGCATTGCTCTTATCCTTATCATGTTTATTGCCCTTGCTCTTGTCCTTACCGTCGGCCTTGTCGTCGGTTTTGTCCTTGTCTTTTTTCGTGGCCTTATGCTTGCCCTTATCTTTATCAGGGCCATTGCTCTTGGACTTGTCATTGTTCTCCCTCTTGTCCTTATCATTCTCCTTATATTTATCTTTGCCCTTGCTCTTGTCCTTATCCTTGCCCTCACCAGCGTCCTTATCTTTATCGGCGCCCTTGCTCTTGGCCGTGACCTTTTCCTTGTCTTTATCCTTATCCTTAGCCTTGTCTTTGCCATTGCTCTTGGACTTGTCATTGTCCTTCTGCTTGTCCTTATCTTTATCGGTGTCCTTTGTCTTGGACTTTCCCTTGTCCTTATCAGCGTCCTTATCTTTATCGGCGGCCTTGCTCTTGGCCTTCTCCTTCTCCTTCTCCTTATCCTTGTCCTTAGAGCTCTTGCCCCCCTTGGGCTTGTCCTTGATCTGCATTTTTCTGTTCTGGGGGGGTGGCGTGCCGTCGTCGCTGCTCTCATCGTTCGATCCGCCAGGAGTCACTGGAGGCGGCTGTCCGCCGCACGACCCGTCGCCGTCCCCCATGGAGTCCTCGCCCGAGGTCTCGAGGCCAAAACTGTCCGAGTCACCGCTGCCACTCTGCAACTGCTCCGAGCCCTCGGTGCTGTCGGACTCCCCGGCATCATCGACATCAGCGGTGCTGTCGGGGTCCTCGGCGCTCTCCTCATCGCCCTCCTCGGCGCTGTCGTCGGCGATCTCGGCCCCCGCTTGCGCGGATGCGGGCGTCTTTCTGGTGCAGGGCTCCTTGTCGTCTGAGCCTGAAGCCTCGAGCCCGTCTTCGGCCTCGGCGGCGCGCGATGCCCCATACTCATTCTCACGCCGCGCGATGTTGGCCTCCCACTTCTCGATCTCGTGGATGTCCACCTTGTAGCACAACCCCATCACGGCATGGTTCAACGTGTCCGTGCACGTCTTCCTGATCCTTCTCCACGGGAAGCCTTGCCTCTTGTACCAGCTCAGCGGGTAGTAGCCGCCTCGCTTGCCCGCCCGCGTCCCTTTCTCGTGGATCGCCTTCAAGGTCGCCTGGACCATGGCCTTGACGCTTGATTGGCCGCTGCAGGCGCGGATCTTCTTCCAGAACCCGACCCTCCCCTCAATGCTGAAGTCCTTCAGCTTCACGGCCATCTCCTTCCACTCGGGCGCCCGATTCGCTTGCACCCCCCGCGTGCTGCACAACGCGCACCTGTAGATCTGGCCCTTCTTCGTCATCCGCACTGGGTACGCCTTCATGACGTCGCACGGCTGGTCGCACCTGTCGCAGAGGAACTCGTTCTCGACGGCGTCGAGCGAGAGCGGTGCTGCGCGCTTGTCAGGCGAGCTGAGCGCCGCGAACGATCCGACTCGAAACTTCGGCGAGGCGCCTGCCGTCGGCTCCTCGCCCATGCCCGCCGACGCCTGGGACTCGGTGTCCGAGGTGCACCTTCGCGGACGAGACGGCGGCGACGACAACTCTTGCACCGTCGCCTTCATCTTCGACTTCGCCTTCGCCTTCGCCTTGCCCACCTGCAGCGCCCCATCGCCGTCCTTCGGCGAGGGCGCACTCTCGCCGAGCCTCAGGGTGGGCACACCACCGCTCGCCTTCGCCCTCGAAGTGGGCTGCATCCACTTCGCGATGTCGGCGAACTTGGGCGGCGCCTTCTTGGCTGCGGCCACTGCCATTGCCTTCTCCTTTGCCACGGCCTTGGCGTTCACCTTGGCCGTGGCCTTGGGCGGCGGGCCCTTCGGGCCTGCGTACTTCGCCCTGACCATCTTCGGCTTGCGCCTGCGTCTGGCGGCGGCTGGCCTCCTCATCGGCCCCCGCTCGGCCGCATCCTCGCTTCCCTCAGCATCCACCTCTTCTTCCTTGGACGCCTCCGCCTCCGCGGCTCCGCCCCCCTCGGTCGCCTCCTCGCCTTCCTCAGCCGCCACCTCCTCTTTCTCGGGCGCCTCCGCCTCCGCGGCTCCGCCCCCCGCGCCCGTCGCGCCCTCGAGACCGAGATCCACCGCGAGAATGTCCAGCAGCTCGGCGTCCTCGGGGACGCTTGCGCCCGCGGCGCCTGCCAACTGCAACGTCGCCTGGCTGTCCTCGCTCGCCGCCGCCTCATCGACCGCGCTGGTCAGCGCGCCGCCGCATCCCGCGGCAATCGCTCGCAACGCCCCGCGACCGTTGGCGGTGCGCGAGAATAGTCGAGCGACCTCGGTCGCTGGCTCTTGAGCCGCGCATGTTGCGTAGTGCCGTTATCAGGTAAGCTACGCGCGTCAGCGATCAGCATCGCTCGGGGAGGCAGCGATGAGTATCGCTCGATGTCGATACTTACTCGAATAAGTGGCATAACTATCGTAAGTGGCAACCAATGTTATCCTTTTGTTATCCTTTTGTTATCCTTTGTTATCCTTTGTTATCCTGATCCCTGGGTCAGTTAGGATAACATGTTATCCTATCTGACCCATGTTATCCTATCTGACCCAGTCAGTTAGGATAACAAAAGGATAACACTGGGTCAGTTAGGATAACATGTTATCCCATATGACCCAGTGTTATCTTTTTGTTATCCTTTTGTTATCCTATCTGACCCAGTGACCAGGATAACAAAGGATAACAAAAGGATAACAAAAGGATAACATTGGTTGTAACTTGCGATAGTTACGGTAGTTACCAGGGTAACTACCTCCCCACGCGATCACCATCGATGCCTCTCCTGCTCATTATCATCATTCTTCCCTCAAGCGATCGGCATCGCTACCTCCCCCAAGCGATCACCATCGCTTCCCCTCCCTCTCATCATCCTCATTCTTCCCCAAGCGATCGACATCGCTACCTCCCCCAAGCGATCGCAATCGCTCCCCCTGTTCCTCATTCTCCCCCAGCGATCGGCATCGCGATCCACCTTCCCCCACCCCACCCCACCCCCGCTACCCCCCACCCCCCAGCGATCGACATCGCTATCCTCCTCATCCTCCCTCTACTTCTCCTCATCCTCCTCCCCCCAGCGATCGGCATTGCTATCCCCCCTCACCCCCAGCGATCGACATCGGTATCCTTCTCCTCCTCCTCCTCCTTCGTCTCCTCCCCCCAGCGATCGACATCGCTATCCCCTCTCCCCCAGCGATCGACATCGCTATCCTCCTCCTCCTTCTTATCCTCCTCCAAGCGATCGACATCGCTACCCCCCACCCCCCACCCAGCGATCGACATCGCTATCATCCTCATTCTCCTGCTCCTTCTCCTCATTTCATATTCATAAGCATGCGGCGGCGCGATCCGCGGCCGCGGCCGCAGGCGGCGAACGCCACAGAGCGCCAGCGAGCCGCGACGAAGATGATGTCGGGCTCCAGGGTCGCCTCCCGCATGTCGCTGGGAAGCGCCAGAGCCCGCTGAGCAGCGCCAAAGCCCGCTGCCACTGTTCAGAGCCCGCTGAGCTGCACCGACGCGCCCATCGTCTCGGCGACCTGCTCCCTCGCCGCCCTCAGGGACGTCTCCTCCTGCTCGAACGCCTGAGACGCCTTGAGGCACGTCTCCTTCGCCACCTTGGCGCAGCGCTCCGCCCGCTTCAGGCAGTCCATGAGCGCATCGGCCCGCGCCTTGCTGAGCCTGAACTCGGTCTCGGGGGGCACGTCGGGCAGCGAGGCGTCTCCTGTCATGGGCGCCATGATCAGGTTCATCGCCGCGGGTGCCACGGACGGCGCAGCCTTCCCCGTCAGGCCTGCAGTCGATTGCACCCGCAACTGCATATGCTGCTGTAGCTGCTGCTGCTGCTGTATATGCTGCTGCTGCTGCCGCATCTGCTGCTGCTGCTGCTGCAGCTGCTCCGCCGTCTGCTGCAGCTTGTGCGCCGCCGCAGTCGCCAGGCTGGCCGCCGCCGCGGGGGCGCGGTCGTCTCCGCGGCCGCGGGGCGGCGTGCGCGGCGCGGGGCGGCCGCGGTGGCTGCGGTGGCTGCGGCTGCGGCTGCGCCTGCGCGCAGGCGATCGCGCGCGGCGATCGCGCCCGCGGCTGCTGGCGGCCCCTGCGCTGGCGGCGGCCGCGGCGGCGCCCCCTGCGCTGGCGGCGGGCGCCGTCTTGTAGGGGTTGGCCGCGGTTGCCACCGCCTTCTCGGCCTGGTGCTTCTGCCACGCCGCCGCCTCGCTGTCGCTGAGGCGCTCCGCGTTGGCGTCGTCCAGGAGGCGGTTGATCTCCTCTAAGTTGGGCCCGCTCGCCGTCTTGAGAAACTTGTGGCTCTCCGCCGTCGACGTCGCCAAGTGGTTGAAGAGCCACTCCAAGCACTCCGCGTGGCTCTCCTTGTAGCACTTGGCCTTGCAGTTGCTGACGGGGCAGCCGACCGTGTACCACTCCTCCTCTGTCTTGACGGGGCAGGCTGCCGCGACGTCGGACGACATGGTCGGTGCTGGCGACGGAGCTGGCGTCGGTGCTGACGACGGCGCTCGTGTCGGCGCTGGCGTCGGCGCGGGCGGGCGCCGATGGAGACGCGCCCCGCTGGGCGCAGGCGATCCGCTCCGATGGGCGCGCTGCGCGTGGAGCCGACAATGGCCATGCAATGCGTGCAATGATGCGTGCACTGTGAGCACACGGCCAGCGATCGGAATCGCTCCCCCACCCAATTTTGTCGCCGTCGGTCGTCGCCTTTGTCAGTCGTCGCCAGAAGTCGTCACATCCCCTCAGCCAGCGATCGCAATAGCCATCCCAATCCTCACATCCCCATCCACACATCGTAATCGTTAGTCGTCGGTCCTCATCCTCACATCCCTTCAGCGACACCTCCCATCCCCTCAGCGATCGTAATCGCTATTGCACACACAAGCGATCGCAATCGCTATTGCACACACAAGCGGTCGTTTTGCCACAGCGCCTGGAGCGGCAGGCGCATGTAGATCGCTTATGCGCGCCCACGGCGCGAAGAGGCGCCGCACCCCCAGCGCGCCGCGCCTGGGCGCCGCGCCAGGGCGCCAGGGCGCCGCGCCAGGGCGCCGCGCCAGCGGCGCGCACAGGACGCCAGCCAGGGCGCGGCGCCAGCGGCGCCAGCGGCGCCAGGACGCCAGGGCGCGCAGGCGCCAGCGGCGCCGCGCCAGGGCGCCGCGCGCCTCACGTCAGCCGCGACGGCGGCGGGACGGCGGCGGGGACGCCTCTGCGCCACGGCGGCAGCGGCGCTGTCGATGGCCGCGGCGCTGCCCCTGGCGTCGGCGCCGTTGCCAGCGGGCGCGCGGGCGACGCCATGCGCGGGCGCACCACGCGCGGCGCCGCGGCGGGCGGGGGCGGCCCCGCGGGGGGAGGAGCCAGGGACTCGCCCTTGCCGCCGCCCTTGCCGCCGCCCTTGACGCCGCTGCGGGGGTCGGGGCGCGACCCAGCGGGGGCCTTGCCTGGCGCGCCGCCGCCGTACTTCTTCGCGAAGTACTCCCTGTTCCTCCCCCCGCGGTTGGCCCACTGCTTGGCGTTGGCGCGGTACCGCTGGCCGCGCCACAGCTCGGGCCCCCCCTCGGCTGGACCAGCAGGGCCGCGCTGCCACCACTGCAAGCCGAGGGCCTTCGCCGCCGCAGCCTCGCCGCGCAGGTCGGCGACCTGCTCCTCGGTGTAGCCCGCCCCCTGGCCAGCCGCGCGCTCCTCGTAGACCCTCGCCCACGCCGCCGCGGCCACGGCCTCAGGGGGGGGCGGCACCAGAGGCGGGTGGGGCGGCACCCGAGGCCATTGCGACCCCTTGGCGCGCGGGTCGAGGGCGCGCGGGCTGCGGCTCCGCGAGCGCTCCGCGGCCGTCGGCGCGGGCGGCGCGGGAGCCGCCGCTGGCGGCGCGGCCGCTGACTCCTCGGCCGCCGCAGCCGCTGCCGCCTGACGCACGGCCGCCAAATCGCGGCGCGAGACGCACGGCCGCGGCGCGCTGAGCGACAGCGACGAGCGGCCCGACTGGCCGCCCGACGAGCGGCTGTCGCGAGGATCGCGCGCCTGCGGCGAGGACACGACCTCGACGAGGGGCACCTCCTCGCGAGGCACCGCCTCCTCCTCCTCCTCCTCCGCCGCCTGCTCCTCCGCCGCCGCGGGTTCCTCGACCTCCGCGCCCTCCTCGCCTGGCGACGCCGCAATCTCCAGGAGCACGTCTGGCGCATCGTGCGTCTCGACCTCCGCACCCGCCTCGGACGCCTCCTCCTGCTCCTTCGCGGCGGCCTCTGTTAAAGGAGACTCCTGCTCCTCCGCGGCCTCGGGCGGCGCCTCCTCCCCGTGCTCCTCCGCGGCCTCGGGCGGCGCCTCCTCATGAGCAGCCAACGCCCCGAAGACGTCCGCGGCCTCGTTCGCGAAGGCGAAGAACTCCTCGGCGGCATCGCGACGGCCGCGGCTGTGGGGCGGCGCCATGGCGGCGCTGGTGCAGGCGCAGGTGTAGGCGCTGGGCCTGGTGTAGGCGCTGGCGCGCCACCTGCTGGGCCCCAAATGGCTAGTGTGATGCATGCAATGATGTGCGCAATGTGCGCACATGCCCAGCGATCGCCATCGCTCCTCCGCCTCTTGCTCTTCCACCTCATCCACCCCCCCTCCCATCACCACGTCCACTCTAGCGATCGCCATCGCTGCAATCTCCATCACCATCTCCACGACAGCTGCAATTCCACTCGCTGAAATCCCCAAGCGATCGCCATCGCTGCAATCTGCACTCGCTGCAAACTAGATCTACAATCCCTGCAACCACAATCGATCATCATCGCTGCCCTGCCCAACCGACCTCAAGCGATCCCCATCGCTGCCATGCAACTCCATCCCTGCACCCCCCCGAACAACCATCCCTACACCAAGCGATCATCATCGCTGCCCCTCCTCCACCACTCCCTACTCATAGCCATAATCGGCTATCTAGTCGCGTGCGAGCACACGCATGCAGGCTGCATCGTCGCAGCACCCCTGCCGATCAAGTGTGGATGCCGAGCTTCTTCTCCTGTTTGCGCACCCACTTCTTAGCCGCAGCGATCGCCTTGTCGCTGCTGCCGCCGTGGTCGCTGAACTTGATGGCCGTCGACTGGCCTGGACCTTTCATACCCGTGCGGCACATGACCTGGTTGCGGGACCATTCCACCGCATATGCGGGTTTCGGTGGTTTCTTGACCCCCTTTGCGCCCACGTGCTTGGCCTCAGTCTTCTTCTTCTTGTTCTTCCTCTTCGCATTGGCCTTGGCTTTGGGGGGCGCGGGGTGGCCGTCGCCAGCGGCCTTGCGCTTCTTCTTCATCGGCGGCGGCGGCTCCGCCTCCTCCACGCCGCCGGCGCTCTTGTTATCGGAGTCGCCCCCGTCGCTGCCCTCCGACTCGTCTTCGCTCGGCGGCGTCTTGGCCACATCTGGCAGGCATTGTTTGCCGCCGAGCTTCGCGAAGATCTTGTCCCTGGCCTCCTCCACGCTGTGCGTCGTCGGCGGCGGCGCCGACTCCGTGTCGCCGATCGGAATCGCGCCGTCCGTGGCGGGCGCAATGGGCTGCGGAGTGTAACGCCTGCATGGCACGCCGTCTCGCGCACCTTGGCGGCCGCCACCCTGCATCGTCATCGCCCTTTCCGCGAGCTGCAACGCCATGTCGACGGACGACCGATTGCCATCGGACGTGGCCTTGAGGCGAGCCTTGGACTCTCGCATCGGGACCGCGTCGCACAGCACCATCAACATGGCGCGGTCCAGCGGGCACTCGTTTGCTGGGGCCCCCCCTCCGCCACCATGCGCGCGCGAGTACCACTCGGGGTGCACCTTCGGCATGTCAGTCGGGTCCGCAGGGAGCTCGCTGACGAAGGACGGCTCGGTCGCGGCAAGCTGCTTACACAACTTCCACGGCAGGAGCTTCTTGGCGCATGTTTTCGCCCGCTTGAAATAGCCCCACTGTGCCATCGGACACGTGCGCATCGTCCAATCGAAGCCGTCCACGAGGAGGGCGACGCACGCCGCCAGTTGAACCGTCGGCTCATGCAGCGCGCGCCACCCGAGGGATTTGCAAGCCTGCAGGACGACCGCAACCCGACCCATGAAGTCGTTGCGCTCGTCCAGGATCTTGTCCCACTGCCTCTTCGTGAGGTAGGCGAGGATGGACGAGAAGTCCTGCATCGGCGTCCTGCCCGACCCCGCCAGCTCCGCGCTTGCGGCCGCGTTAGCGGCCAACATTTGCGCTGAGGCCGTCGCCAACGTCGTGACGCGGCCGAGCAGCGTGGCAAGCGCCCTCTTGCCGAAAGGCATCTGGCCGATCTCCAGGACCAGCATGGCCGAATCCTCGGCGGAGATGAAGGCCCACGGCGCCATGATGGCCATCGCCATGGCGCTCTGCGCCTCCGCGATCTCCTTGTACGCGTCGGACTTCTTCCCGATCTGGGCGAGGACCGACTTGGCGGCCTTCAGCTGCTTCACCAGGTCGGCCGCCATGGCGCCCGCGGGCGTCACTCGCGTCGCGCACGCGGGCGTCACCCGCGACTACAAAGCCGACAACGGCTATGCACAGCGATCGTTCAAAACGATTGCCGCCTACTTAAGTTAGCGATCGGTATCGCTTCTCTGCTTCTCCCTCCTCCTCCCCGCCCTCCCCCAAGCGATCGCTGTCGCTTCTCCTTCTCCTCCTACTCCTCCTCCAAGCGATCGCCATCGCAACCTCCCCCCATCCCCCTCCTCCTCACACAAGCGATCGCCATCGCTACATCCCCCGTCCCTCCCCCTCCTCCTATGATCCCTCCTCCACCTCCTCCTCCTCCTCTCTTGTTTTTGCAACCCGTAGGGTTCGGTCCGTGCACGTCCTACTCCCCCCTCCCCCCCTCCCCCAAGCGGTCGCCATCGCTGTTCCCCCCGTCGCCCCTCCTCCTCCTTCTGGGGGAGGTGAAGCGACGGCGATGACGATGAGGAGAAGGAAAAAAGATGAGGAGAAGGAAAGCGATGTCGATCGCTGAAAGGAAGGTGGATGATGATAAAGGAGATCACTGAGCGCCGCGCGCAGCCGCTCTGCCTCGTGGAGGCGCGCGGGGCTCGCGCGCGCGGGGCGCGGCTGCGCGATGTGGGGTGCTCCGCGCGAGCTCGCGCAGGGGGCTCGCGCTTTGGCGCTCAGGCGCCAGCGCGACAACCTGCTGCAGCAGCTCGCGGAGGCGGATACCCCCTCCTCCCAGCGATCGCCATCGCTCTCCCCCGAATCCTCCTCCTCCGCTTCCTCCCCTTCCTCCTCCTCCTCCACCTCATCCTTCCCCCTCCTCCCCCTCCTCGCCCCTCCCCCCACCCCCTCCTCCCTTCACTCCACCGCCCCTCTCCCCCTCCCCCCGCCTCTGCAGACTGTCAACGCGGAGCAGACAGAGCGCGCCGTGCAGCTCTCGCTGTGGCTGGAGGAGGCGGGAAACGATGACGACGAGACGACGACGACGGCGGCGGCGACGACGACGACGAATGAGGCGGAGCGCGAGCTAGCGATCGCGATCGGCGAGAGGGACGCGGCGCTGCGGCGGGAGGCGGGGCTGAAGGCGGAGAACGCGCAGCTGAGGAAGGAGGCGCAGGGGGCGCAGCTGCTGCGGAGGGAGGAGCAGGCGCGCCTTCAGGCGGAAAATGCGCAGCTGAGGGCGGAGAAGGCGGAAAAGAAGAAAGAAGAAGAAGGAGAAAAAGGAGAAGAAGGAGAAGGGGGCGGCGGCGAAGGCGAAGGCGGCGGCGAAGGCGGCGAAGGCCAAGGCGGCGCGCGCCGCGGCGAAAGCGCCAGCGGCGGCGAAGGCGCCGCCAGCGCCGCCAGCGGCGCCAGCGGCGGCGAAGGCGCAAATGCCGCCGCCGTCGACTTCGCCTCCGCGGTGAGGCCGCGCGCCCGCAAGCGCGGAGCGCGCCGCGCGCCCGCAAGCGCGAAAACAAAAGACCAGCGATCGTAATCGCTATCCCCTCGTCCTCTTCCCCCCACCCCGCCCTCCCCCAAGCGATCACCATCGCTTCTCTTCCTCCTTCCCGTCCTCATCCTCCTCCTTCCAAGCGATCGACATCGCTTCACCTCCCCCAGCGATCGCCATCGCTCCTCCTCCTCCTCCTCCTCCTCCTCCTCCTCCTCCTCCTCCAAGCGATCGCCATCGCTACCTTCCTCATCCCCCTCCTCCTCACCCAAGCGATCGCCATCGCTTCTCCTCCTCCTCCCCATCCAAGCGATCGACATCGCTACCTTCCCCATCCCCCTCCTCCCCACCCAAGCGATCGCCATCGCTACCGCGGCGAGCACCCACCAGGCGGCGCCGCGACGAGCTCCAGGTCGATGGGCAAATCCCAAATCCTGAAAAACCTCTTCAAATCCAGGTAACCTCCCCAAATCCAGAAAACCTCACCAAATCCAAAAAAAAATTCCCCCAAATCCGAAAATCGTTCCTGAAAACTACATCCACCTCCTCCTCCTCATCCCTCCTCCCCCTCCTCCTCCTCCTCCTCCTCGTCCTCATCCTCGCCCTCCTTCTCGTCCTCTTCTGCGTGGGGGCCGCGGGCCGCGACGTCCCTGCGGCGCGGCGGGCGGGCGCGCGGCGGGAGGGGAAGAGAAGCGAAGGAGGGATGGAAGGAAGTTATAAGTTACTTATAAGTAACATATATGTTACTTATAAATATTGCATCTCAGCACGGGTAAGTAACTTAGCGGTAGTTATAAGTATCTTCCAGCGTCATTAATAATCAGCGAAATACTTATAACTAACCTAAGTATAGTTATGCGACAAGACAAATACTTAAGGGCACATAGAAATAGTTAGAAATACTTAGGTACTTATCCCTTGCTATAAGTATCTTATACCTAGCTGTACCTATGGTGCAACTAACATAAGAACCACCATTCTCGAAGTAGTGACCCCCCCCCGGTTTTCCGGAGGGGGGGGGGAGAGGTTCGAACCGGTAGTGACCTCTCCCGGTTTTCCGCCAGCAGCGGTAGAACACGCTCTTTCCCATGTTGTTCCATATTTTCTGGGTTTTTGTGTTCCCTCCCACTTCCTATATTTCCTATATTTTCTGGGGAATCGTCGATTAATTGTGTCTGTGTTTTTTCCCTCCTGAATCTTAAGGATTGAGGATCGAGGAGATTCGAGCAGGGAATCGACTACAGAACTGCTTCTGTCGCCCCAGAAAATGTTTTTGTTCGTCGAGTCCACGAGACTGCATACATAATGTTCCATAGATCTCCGGAGTACTCGGCAACTTTCCCGCAGATCCAACGGGACAGCCAATTCTGGGAGAAAACAATTCTGTAGTCGGTGCCCCTACTCGAAGGCTGGGGATCAAGCGTCGAGGATTGGCATCGAGGAGCGACGAAGGGAAGGGATGGGGGATCGAGGATCTCATGCCTACCTCACTTCGCGCCCGCGCGCCCCACGCCCTCGTCGCGCTCGCGCGCCGCCCATGTTTAGAGGAGGGCAGCTGCCGCCCTGAGCGCCCAAAGGCACCCTCGTCGCCAGAGCTGGATACGCGTCATCAGACAGGTCTGGCGGTCGTGTGGCTCCACGATCCTTCTCCTCCTCCTCCTTTTCCCATCCCGGCCGATCACTCAACTCTCTTCCTATACACTCATCCTGACTCTCCTCCGTCATCCGCCCCCTCGTCCTCCTCCGCTCCCTTTCTGTCCAGACGGACGCACACATCTAACCTGCATGATCTGCACTGCGCCCACGGGGGCAAGGAAGGTGCTGGCCGTCTGAGACCGCGGCAGGGCTTCTCAGAAGCCCTCGCGCCGTGTAAGAAACCCTCTTATGCCTCGGCCGCTTCGAAAGGCTTCTCGGAAGGCGGGAGGTTTGCTGAGAAAAGTCCAGCGCCTGCTGAGAAGGCCCGCCCCCTCTGCCTTGCCCCCAATGGGCGCGCCACCCTCATGCGGGTGAGCAACGGGTGAGGGGGGAAGACGGACGGTCGCACGAAGCAGACGCGAGGAGGAAGAGGAGGAGGAGGAGGAGGCGAAGGAGGAGGAGGAACGTCTTCGCCCAATGCTGCCGCTGGCCGTGATCGCGGCCACGTCACGCGACGGTGGCCACACGACGCATGGCATATTGGAGACATCTCGATCTCTTATTGGTGCCGCCGCTCCTGCTCGAGATCCGCAACCATGCCTCCTCCTCCTTCTCCTCCTCCTCCTCCTCCTCCACAGTTTGGGAGCTTCATCGGGTCCCTCGAGATCGCTCCGTCCTCGGGAGGACGAAGTGCTTCGGGACCTGGGCCCCCCGAATTTTGTATGATTTCTCGGGGGTGTGCCGCGGCTTGTCGCGCGTCCTCTCCTGAGGCAAGGGAGCCCCAGACGGACCATGAGGACCCAAAGATGCCGCCAGGATGGCCCAAGAGGCCTCCGAGACCGCCCAAGAGCGTCCCTCGCACGCCCAAGATGGCCTCGAGGCGGCTCACGAGGCTGCCCAAGGCGCCCGAGAGGACCCTCAGAGACCTCCCACGAGCGCCCTGAGAGGCACACGTGGCACTCTCGTCTGCTCGGGCTTCCGACGCTCCAGGACGGCTCCGAGGGGCCCCCGGACATCGCTCCAGGAGTTGGGCGTTGGCAGAACTGGGTTTAATGGAACCTGGTTTAGCGGTGTGTACCGGGGGGGGCGCCCCCCCCCGCCCCGTTCCGCTAACCGGAACTGCCGTCACCCGAAACAGTTACGGCAAGCCTGGTTTAGTGAATCTGGCCAATTGAGGGGCCCCAGGGCCCTACCACTAACCGGTCCCCTTACCTGGGCTCCTGGCTATACCCGAAGGAGGGCCCCCAGACGGTCACCAGGGGGCCCCAAGACGGCGCAAGATGCCACAATAGAAAAACAACAAAACTGCATACACAGGCACCTTTGGCGCTCCGCGCGGATCTCTTGCATCGGCGCTGCACCCGCCGGGGGCGCCCCGCGCGGATCCAAGAAGACGGCGCAAGAGGCCACAGAACGCTGCAAAGAGGGCCCACGGGGAGGCGCAGTCCGACACTCCGAGCCCTCCGCCCCGAGGTGGCCCCCAGGATCCCGCCAGGAAGCCGGGGATATTTCTACCTGCAACGTGCCGCCGACCCCGTCCAGAGGCCAAGCCGACGGTGGCCTTTTCCTCGCCGTCTGCCCAAAAGGGGATCCTTTTCTCGCCCTCAGGCCCCCTCGTTGGGCCGCATCCCCCTCCTGGGCCGCATCCCTACCCCCCTGGCCGTCGTCGCTTCCACACCCCTCGCGGCCTGCCCCGTCCTTGCCGATCCTCCAATACGACCCCCCTCCCCAAAGCACCGTCCTCCAGGATCGGTCGTCTACCTCCTCGCCCTCTTCCTCCTCTTCTACTCCTCCACTTACTGACCTCGTCGCCGCTGAAGCCCTCGTCGTTGGCTACCTCCTCGTACTCCTCAGTTCACGTCGTCTCGCTCGTGTAGCCTCGCATTCGCACCTTTCTCGTCTCAACTCCTCATCTCCTTGTTTGACGCCTTGCTCCCCATCCACCGCACATCCCTGCCTCCCTGCTGTCCACTTCCCCCCGATGCTCTCGTCCCCCGTGGATCCTAGATCCCACATCCAATTCCCCTGTCACCGTTTCCTGTCTCTCTTGTCAGTCATCTCTCATTCCTCCATCCTCCTTCCATCATCCCTCCTCCCCCTGTGCCGCCCCTCGTTCCTCGCTCCTCCCCCATGTCCCGTCCTCGGCGTCGTCGTCATCATCGACGTCTCCCACCTCCATCTCGCGTTTTCTCTGCTCCCCCCTCCCTAAGTGGTCCTTCCATCCTCCCTCCGCCATCGGTCTTTTCGCCCCCCGCTCTCCTCCCGCCTCTCTCATCTTGCCATCGCTCGGACGTCCACTCCCCGTGCATGTTTCGGTGTCGTGCGGGCTTTTGATTGCCAGATGTTCCAGGATGCTCCTCGATGGTGCTCGCCGAGGGAGCATGCACACGTCCGAGCGATGCAAAGTCAGTTGTCAACCTCGCCAGTCCTCCCTGGTCCATCTGCCCCTTCCACACCCCCATATCCAGGAGACCCCAGAATCGAAACGATAGATCGGCGATCGAAATGGATCGGATTGGCGGAAATCGGCAGCCGAGTCGGGAAAAGTCGAATCGACGGAAATCGTGAGGCGAGTATGCCTCCAATGAGAAATCGGAGCCCAAATCGGAATCCCGAATCGTAGCGAATCAGAATCGGAAGCCATCGAAGTCGAATCGAATCGAATCGGAGGAATCGAAATGAGCCCTGCATAACTCTCCACCCTCCCTCGCAGCCTCCCCGCTCCCACGACCCTGCACCCTACGCCCCGAACGTCCTGCTCCAACACTGTTGTTGTGGACTGTACGATATGAGATTGCTCCTCGATCCCGCAAATTTCGACGACGTCCACGACGATATCCGAGAACCTCCAGAAATCTCCGCGAGCATTCGAATGCACAAAAATCTCCAACGACGACCACAACAATGACCGCGACCACGATCATGACCACGAACACGGCCACGACCACGACGACGACGAAGACGAGGAAGACGACGACGACGACGCCGACGCCGGCGACGACCGAGGGGGTCCCGAGAGGCCCAAGGGAGCGAACCTTTCGATCATCGTGTCGTGACGACCCCAGCCGGCGGCGCCTCTGGCGCCACCGGGGCGGGGCCCAGCGCGGATCCAAGAACTGGAGCGCCAAAGTTGGTGCGCATGGCGTGTTCTTTTGTTCGACCTGAACGAAGGGCCCCAGCGCAGATCCAAGAAATCCGCGCGGAGCGCCACAATTTTGTATCTATGGCGTGTCTTTTAAGTCCGGCGTGTCCCCCTACATGCGGATTTTCGAGGAAACTTTAATACACGCTCAAGAAATACTCTCAAATGGTCAAAAATAATCAAACATAGTCCCTGCACTATTTTTATACTTTTATGTTTGAGGATTCCCCCTGTAGAGGGACCAGCCCGACTTAACGTTTCTTCTTCTTCTTCTTCTTCCTCGAACGCTCGGAGGATATTCGGTCGCCAGATCGCTCCATCTCGGCCGATGCTGGGCCACCCGCGGCGTTCAACCCTGGAAGCGCCCGCGGAGGGGTCGCCGCCGCGTCGACACGGCACGAACCTGCTGCACCGGGCCCGACCAACTTGGGCCCTGGGCGTCTCGACCCCTCCAGCGAGTCACCAAGAAAGGGCCCCTGATCCTTTGGGAGGGGACCTAAGTTAGGAGGGCCAACAACATCAGGGATAAGGGGCTCGTCTCTGCAGATGTATCGAACCAGACCGCCCAGATTGATTATCCCTGATGCGAAGACGGGGACCTCAATGAGGCCACGTCTTCATTGTGCTATTAAGGTTAGGCGTTCTTGTATTCTCGATGATCCAGGGCCGGCTTCCCATCCTGAGTAGACTTCGGATGGTCACGAGGGCCAGCAAAAACACATCCAAATTCGGGACATCGTGACACAATGAACAACCGATTCGACTACTTCACATCGTCCGGGTCTGAGGGGACGACGACGCTGAAGGCAGCAAATAACGGCGGCCAGCGGCGGCGAAGACGAGCTCCGAGCACCTCTGACCGCCTGCGAAAGTCTCCGAGGGCCTCCAAGACCCTTGGAGAACTTCAGAAAATATTTGAACACGGTCGAAGGATCTTAAGCCCGCTTCGACGACGACGGATGTGAGTCCAACAATTCTATAAAAAAACAGTCGAATACGTGGCCAATAACCTATATGATTGGGCGGCCCAAGATTGCCGGAGCCACGCCTCTCGACATCGAAGAGACCATGCCGTGAAGCGCCGAACTCCATAGCCGCCACAACAGCGGGGGAAGAACACATCTTTCGCCGCCGGATGCGCTGGTCCCCTCCCCCGAGAGGAGGACGGGGAGAGGTCCTCCCTTAATGACTATTGGGGCTTATCCAGACAAGCTGCTGCGATAAGGAGCGCCGAGTATGGAAGAGCGGAAGATGCCCCTTCCTGGCACCAGCAAGCCTGGGTGCACGAGGAGGGACCGAGGAACAAGCACGGAGGGACCAAAGGAACAGCGAGCCCACTCCGAACCCGAAGCAGACTATGTTCAGACGACGACGGACGACGGCGACAAAGACGACGATGGCGGGCCCCCGGTCGCGGCACCAGGCGGACGGCTTCGCCGGCGCCACAGCGGGCGGCGCCGAGGGCGCCGCGCTGGACGCGCTGGGCGGCGCGGCTGCGGGCCCTGGCTAGCCCGAGGGGGGCGGCGGCGGCGGAGGACGGCGGACGGGCGCAGGCGGCGACGGGCTGGCGGACGGACGACAGGCGACGACGGCAACGACTGCGGCGACGACGCCGGCGACGACGACGACAGCAGGGGAGACGGCGGCGGCGACGACGGCGACGACGTCGAGGCAAACGACGACGGCAATGGCGACGAGGCCGACGAGGACGGCGGCGGAGCTGGCCCCAATGGGCCCTGTGACTCGGGGGGAGGAAGGAGCGAGGCAGGACACGGGCAAAGAGAAGCGGCACCACCACAATCGCGAGGAGCCAATGAGACTCCTCCTGGTGGTGTGGCCCCCTGGGCGTCGCTTATGATGCTGGGGCGACTAAAAATGGGGGGGGGGAGCAAGGAGGTGCACTTCTCCGGCCCTCAAGGCCCCCTTTGGGGGCCCATTCATCGCCCCCTCATTGCGCTTAGGTCGGGCATGTCCTCCTGCAGGCAGACTCTGGACGAAAAATGAAGAATCGCCCCAAAAAATCAAGCGTGGTCCAAAACATAAAGAGGAATCGTCCCCAGACCATTTTTTGTTAGTGAGTTTTCCTTATGTAGCCACAGACCCCCGACGTCATGATTTTGTCATGACGTCGACCACATAGGTCTCGATACTGTCCCTGGGACCCGTTTTTCATCCTGCGTCGGGTTTTGACGGTCCCAGGGCCTGGCGAGGGTCCCCGGAGGCAGACAATGGCAAAGAGCTTCCCGTCTGTATTTGTGCCACACCGCGAGGGGGTCTGGAGAGGGACACCTGCCCGACTCAACATCACGCGGCTCCCGAACCCCCCCCCCCTTGCTGCGGCGCCCCAGGGAGGCGCCTCCCAGCTCCAGCTCGGGGAGAGACACCGTGGACCCCCCCCCTTGCTGGAGGAGGAGGAGGAGGAGGAGGAGGAGGAGGAGGAGCAGGAGGAGGAGGAGGAGGAGGAGGAGGAGGAGGAGGAGGAAGAAGAAGAAGAGGGGGGAGGAGGAGGAGGAGGGGAGGAGGAGAGGAGGAGAGAAGAAGAAGAGAAGAAGAAGAGGGGGAGGAGGAGGAGGAGGAGGAGGAGGAGGAGGAGGAGGAGGAGGAGGAGGAGGAGGAGGAGGAGGAGGAGGAGGAGGAGGGAGGGAGGAGGAGGGAGGAAGAAGGAGGAGGAGGATGAGGAAGGAGGAGGTGGCCAATGGCTGGCCGTGACTCCTGCGGGTCCTTGGCCCTTGGAACGGACTCCTAGGAGCAATTCCTGCAGAATGCTTGGGGCAACCGCGGGGATACTTGACGAGTACTCTGCGTGCGCTGCTCTCCCCCCCCCACGAGGAACTAATCGATTGCTGGGGGTGCTAGCGATATCGCTGTGCGCCCCCTGCCCCCCAGTAATATATATATATATATACCATCTATGAACAGGGGGGATCGATAATGGGCATGTCCTCCTACAGGTGGATTTTGGACGAAACAATAAAACTTGCTTTTAACAATAATCGACAACGGCAAACAATGCTCAACCACATCGTCCCCAGACTATGATTTACTATGTTTGCATACTCCTCCTGTAGACGGACATGCCCGATGTAAGGATACCGGGGGGGATCGATAATGAGCGATCCAGGTTCCACGCTGGGCACCGCGAGCGCGCCGGCAGCTGAACGCTGGACGGGACGGCAGGCAGTGCGGTTGGCTGTGTGCATGGGGGACGGTTGGAAACCGGGCGCGACCAAGATCAGCCAGCATCGACCAATTTCAGGCAGCATCGAATCAGGACTTGGGCATTCCTATAGTCCTACCACGACCTGTTCTTAAACCCCAAAAATGTTCTAAGAACAAAACAATGTTCTTAGAACATAAACCCGATGTGATAAAACAAGACAGTCCCAACCAGAAATGTTGTAAGAACAGTTCGTGGAAACCACAAAAGGTTCTTAGAATATTTTTTGGTAGGGCTCTAGGCGAGCCAAGACGCTTCGTCACTACTTGAAGGACGCGGCGGACCGGGTGATGCACCAGCACGGACGCGGCGGATCGGATCTGCGGATCGGACCAGAATCGGGACGCGGCGGATCGGATTGGAACGTGCGTCGGACCTTGTGATGCATCGGCACGGGATCACAGCCGGCAGCGCATCGGCCGCGCCGGGGCGCACCTCCGCGCCGCGTGCAAGTAACTATCGGGCCGTTCTGGAGCACCGAGATCGTGAGCCGGTGAGACCCCGGGGAGATCGCAAGCGGTCGCGGTACCGGTCGAGCCAGAGCGGGCCCCGCCCCAGACCCCCAACGTCATGTTCTTTTCATGACGTCGACCCCGGAGGTCTCGACCCTCACCCGGGACCCATTTCCATCCTGCGCCGCTTTCCGACGGGCCCAGGGCCCCGCGAGGGCCCCCAGAGGCCGAGCATGATAGCAAATGACAGGCCGAAAATGATAGCAAAACGATAGCGAGGGCGACAAGCTGACAGTGACGACGACCACCACCACCACCACAAGGGGACGACGACGACGACGACGACGACGACGACGACGACGACGACGACGACGACGACGACGACGACGACGACGACGACGACGACGACGACGACGACGTCGCGCGGGCCCCGCGGCGTGCCCGGCGCGCGGGCCCCTCCCGACCGCGCGCCTGGGTCCGCCCGCGCCGCGGGAGGCGGGCCCGGCAGGCCCCCCGCTCCAGCGAGGCCACCCAGGCCGCCCGCGAGGCCGCCGCCTGGCGCGGCGCCGCGGCAGATCGTCGGCGCCGTCGCCGTCGCCGTCGGCGCCGTCGGCGGGTCGCCGTCGGCGCCGCCGCCGCGTCGGCGTCGGCAGCGCACGTCGCCGCTGCGTCGCCGCCGCGCCATCATCGGTGTCGCCATCGCCGTCGGCGAGGCACGTCGTCGTCGCCCTCGCCGTCGTCGCGCTGCCGTCGTCGTCCCCGCCGCCATCGTCGCGCTGCCGTCGACGTCCTGGCTGTCCGTGCGCAGCGACTGCCGAGCTCGCGAGAAGGGGGTGGCAAAAGGTACCGATCCTGCAACTCCCTGGACCTCTCGCGGGGTACGCTCTGACCAGAATTTCGAAGCAAATCCAGCCGTGGCGACGAGGACCTCCCAGGAGACCCAACACGGCGAAAACAAGGACATCTTAGCCGTAGCGATACCTCATAAGCAACGAAAATGCCCCTAACCCTTTGGGACGGGACCTAAGTTAAGAGGGCCAGAAACATGAGGGATACGGATGCCTTACAGCCGCCAAAATGAATCGCCCCTAATGCGACGACGGGGACCTCGGTGAGGCCACGTCCTCGCTATGTTACTGAGGCTACGGGTTCGTCGATCCTCGATGCCAGGAGGCCCTGGTAAAGCCGAAACCAAGGACACCTTTCCTCCGGCGCCGCGCCGCCCGTCGAGGGCTCTCGGCTCAGCCGCTCGCGGCCCGCGCGGCGGCGCACGCCGCGCGCCGCTCCGCCGCCCGCGCCGCGGCCTCGCCGGGCGCCGCGTCGCGCACGAGCAGCGACCACCGCCGCGCCCGCAGCACCTCCGCCGCGTGCCCGGCCGCGCCGGGGTCCACCTTGCCAGAGCATCGGATGCTGAACTCTCTCTCGGTCGCGACACGTATAGCGACCGGTCGGCGCTCCAAGAATCGGTCGCGACGGATCGCGACCGCTCCCAGAAGCGGTCACGACCGATTTCAGAGCAGATCGGTCGGGACCGATACCGAGATTCGAAGCAAGGTCGGTCGCGACTGGAAAATTCCAGCATCCAATGATCAGGGTTGGAGGGGCCCAGGGACACACCGATGAATAGACACAAATCCCAGGAGCTCCCATATGGTGTGTGTGTGAGTGTGTGTGTGTGTGTGTGTATGAGTGTGTGTGTGTGTGAGTGTGTGTGTGGATGTTTGCCCCTCCCGGCACCTCCAGGCCGGACATGATCTGGGCGAGCGGCGCGCACCGGGGGGGGCGGCGGGGCGAGGGGGGGGGCAACCGCGTCCCCTGCTGCTCTCTCGGGACGGGGCTGCCTGCGGGCACGCTCTGCACGTCCATACAGTAGGGGCCCGACCACAAGAAAGCTTCCACAGGAGACCCAACCCCGAGATCCCAGGACGCCCGTGGACTTTTGGCGTGGCAGCGCCGCGCTTTCCACGTCTTGACCATCGAAGCCTAAGAAACCCAGGACACCCTGGAGGCAAGCAGGGTGTTCCTTGGCATGGGCCTCCACTGTACATGTCCATAGCCGCCGCAGCTTGGGCTTTCCAGTGAGAGAGCTCGCCGAGAGGCCGAGGCGCAGTGGATAGGGACAGAGACCTGCCCTCTAGGGGCCAGAAGCTTGTCCATGTCCCCTGCGCCTATGGTTTCTGGGGAGGGGATCTCGAAACTCCAAGACGCAGTGGATATGGATACAAATCTTGCCTGCAACGCGGGGGGGCACCGCCACCAGCTCTTAGGACGGGGATGGTGTCATGATGCGATTGGCTCAGGATTTGGCGGCCCTCCTGTCTGCAGCCGTATGGACCAGTTGGACATCTGGGGGATCCTGGAAACCTTGGAGCGTATCGTTCTCATGACCTCGTGCTGCTCAGAGGTATGGGTCTCCAGGGGGGTCCTGCATTGCGTACATGTGGGAAGCCTTGAGGGTGCATGTCGGGCACTCGAACGACATTGGAAAAGCCCCATATCTGCACATGTCTAGGAGGAGGGGAAGGATGAGGAGGAGAAGGATGGTGATGATGATGGTGATGATGATGATGAGGAGGAGGAGGAGATGATGGTGATGATGATGAGGAGGAGGAGGAGGAGGAGATCAGAAGGAGGGAGGAGGAGGAAGAGGAGGAGGAGGAGGACGAGAAGAACGGAGACATGAGAAACCACAGGAACAGGAGGAATAGGAGCAACAGAAGGAGGAGTGATGCTGACGATGAGGAGGGAAATGATAATACGAATACGAAACACGAGCACACTCAGACAACGAATATAAAACAGACAACAAGAGGACGTAGGAGAGAGGATGATGAGGAGGGGGAGGAAAACGAGGAGGAGGAGGAGGAGGAGGAGGGGGAGGAGGTCGAGGAGGAGGAGGAAGAAGAGGGGGAGCAGGAGGAAGAGGAGGAGAAGGAAGCGGACGAGGAAGACGACGCAGATGTTTTTCCCGAGAAGCCATTCCGCTTCGGAAAAACGGTGGACCAAGCGGCATTGAGGGCCTGCCGCATGGCCAACAAAGAGTTCGGTCGCAACGCGGTCGCGCACCGTGCGAAGCCCCCGGAAACAAAGCAGACGTCCGACGATCTTCGCCAGACCAAGGCCCAGCCTTCACGATACCCTTCCCACCACAAGCGGAACGTAATCAGCGCGACCAGTCGAGGGAGCCGGCTGAGCCATGCCGCCCATGGGTGTAACTCCATGGGCAGCACCAAACAAAGAGAGAGAGAGAGAGAGAGCGGTGACACAGAAAAGTGAAGTCCCGCCTGGCACCGCCAAGACAAAGCTGCCCGCCTCGTGACGTCACAGCACTCGTCGGAGTCATCCTCGGAAGGGTCCCCAGGCGGGGGGACATGAGTGCCCTCGTCATCCACGGCCCTGAGGTCCGCGACGTGACCCGAAGTTGGCATAGGCTCCTCGTCGTCGGCGGGGGCACCTCCCAGAAGTACAGTGCCTCGACCACCCTGCACAGCAGCGGTGATTGCGAGGCCCCCTGCCGACAGAAAGGAAGCAACGTTCTCTTGGGACCAAGGGCCAACCCGAACGGAACCGCCCCCGAGTTTCGGGCGGACCCCATAGGAAAGTCGCGTCCGAGCCAAGCAGGCTCCAGCGCTTGAGGAGGGGCCGAAACACTCCCGAGCAAGACTGCGCAACACGCCGTGGCCCAAATAGGCCTTGCAGCGCAGTCGTACGACAAGCGCAGCACCGTCAGAACAGTCGGGAGAAACAACATGATGACGCAACCTTCGGCGGTGGACAAACTTGCCTTTAGTAAACCTCCCCTTTGAGAAAACGGCCTGGGACCGAAACCGACGGACCTGAACCCGCAAAAACGTGGGCCGCGACGCCCTCTCGCGAACCGAAAACGGCAAATTCCTTAATCGACGTGTCAGGGTAGGAGGTCTGTCCACCCCCGAATGATGACGCAACCTGGCCAGACTCTGGGGGCCAAGCCTGCGGAGACCTCGGCAGTGGCCAGGCGGCGGCACATCGACGGAACGGGATACCTTCCAACACACCTCGCACCGCCAGAACTTCGACCGTCCAGTCCAGCCGTGCGCGACGAAGACGGCTCCGGAAGCCGCGGGTAGCGTGGTCCGCTCCACTCAGTCTCCAAGGAGACAAAGCAACCACAACGGCAGCAACGTCGCATCCAAAGCTCCCACAGCACTGGCTCCTGCAATATGCTTGCTGGTTGCCTCCACCACGAATGAGCCAAACTGTGGGCGGGAAATGGCCGCAACCGTCGCAGAAACATCCGCGAAAGTGTCGTAACGCCTCTCAAACTGGTCATCATCAGCAGTGGAATCCGGCACCTCAAATTGTGTCTTGACTTTGTTGGTCGTCACAATCGGAAGATTATGCCAAACAAACTGTGCATGTCCAGCATGCAACCGCTTGTGGCTCGCCAAATTCGACAAACACACCCTCCCAAACTCGCACACGTGTAAACAACCCGAAGACATCGCGGAACTGCGGCTTGAATGCTGCGCGGCCGCCGCAAACGCATGATGCTCGGCACTCTTGGGGGTTTGAGGGTGAGAGGCCAGACAGGACTCTTGATGGGGATGACGTTCACATGCTTGAAGCAGGATCTGTTCGCAAAGATTCCCCGTTGAAGCGCCTTGCTGAAAACCATATGCCCACCCACTACCAGGTCATATCTCGGTGACAACTCCTTCGTCCTGAGCAGGCTGCGGATATACCTCCCCAAAATGTGAGAAAACACCAGACGAGGAAAACACGTCACCCGCTTTCTCGACCAAATCTCTCACCGTAGCTGGGATGAGTTCCGCCTGGACCTCAGCAAAGCTGAACATCGCCATAGCTTGGGCCCTGGGCCTCGGCGTTTCCTGAGCTTCGCCGCGCAGCTCATGATGATGAGGACGAGGACAAGGGAGAGGACCAGCGTAAACGATGTTGCAATCAACCATCCCTGCAAGCTCCCTATTCACCTCGATAAAAGAAATGCCCCGTTGGAGAACAACCGTTTAAAAATCATGACCGGTGCCGTAAAACTATTCTTGGGACTTCAACGCCGCGAATCACCGTTACTGCTGCGATTGGCGATTCTGAATCGTGCTAGAACAACATGTCTCGGACTTCAACACCACGAATCAACGCCACTGTTGCGCCCTGACAGACAGACATCGTGTCATCACACCAGCTTTGGGACGTTTGCCATGATAATATTTGGAAGTGCTAAAATGTTTTGCGGAACATTTGCAACTATTTATGACAAAGGCGCACGGCGCTAAAACGAACAACACATCGTGAAAACGACCAGCCCTCTATCCGTGAAACTATTGCAAATTCTTCTGGCGGGTGTTCGCGGCACTAAAGCGAAAACCACATGTTGAAAATGGCCCGTCCTTCATCCTTAAAGCTGTTGCACTTTTTGTATGAAGAATGTGCGCGGAACCAATGCGACAACCAAATGTTGAAGACGGCCCATCCTTGACCCGTGAAACGGATGCAAGTGGTACATATTTATGGACAATGCGCGCGGCGGGGAGGCGAACACCACATTTGGGCAACCACCAGCCCTCAATCCTTGAAGCTCTTGTACAAAATGGGACGGATGTGCGCGGCGCGAGAGCGACAAGAACAGTGAAAACCACCCGCCCTCCGTCTGTGGATCCACTCCGCTTTGCAAGCTTCTGGATCAGAGGTGGTGTGGATGTCTCAAGAAACAGGCCCGGCCCGCCCTCCCGACTGGCCCAGGGGTGCGACAAGGACGGGTTTTTTCTCGTAAGGAGAAGGACCGGAGGAGGAAGAAAGGAGAAAGGAGAAGGAGAAGGAGAAGGGAGGAGGAGGAGGAGGAGGAGGGGGAGGAGGAGGAGAAGGAGCAGGAGCAGGAGGAGGAGGAGGAGGAGGAGGAGGAAGAGGAGGACAAGGAGGAGGGCACCTCTTAGAGGGGGCCCTGCCAAAAGGGCCGCCCCTCGACGCCCCGCCCCCGCCCTCTGCGCGCCGCCGGCTCGGCCCAATCCCCCCGCAGCAGCAGCCTGTCGCGGATCCACCCAGCGTGGCACGGCAGGTTGGCGTTCATGATCAGCACCGCCAGGGGCCTGCAACGGCAGGTCTTCGGGCTGCGCGGGGACACCCCCCCCCAGGTCGCCCTGGCAGGCCTCCCGGCTGGCCTCGACAGGCTCCCCGCCGCAACGGGCCTCCCGCACAGTCCAGGGCGGCCCCGGCGCTCTGTCGCCGGCCAGCCCCGCGCCCCCAGGCTGGGGCGTGGAAGCTGCCCCGGGCTGCTCGCGGGCGGCCTGTCGAGGCCAGCTTGGACTGCTCGGGGAGGAGGAGGAGGAGGAGGAGGAGGACGAGGAGGAGGAGGAGGAGGAGAAGGAGGAGGAGGAGGAGGAGGAAGACGAGGAGGACGAGGCGGAGGCGGAGGCGGAGGAGGAGGAAGATGAGGAAGAGGAGGGGGAGGAGGAGGAGGGAGAGGAGGAGAAGGAGGAGGAGAAGGAGGAGGGGGTGGGCCCTGCGAAGCCAGCTCGGACTAATGGTGGTGGACGCTTGCGAAAAAAACATCGGGGGCAACGATTGAACAACAAATTCGCCGGCCCCGCTGCCTCCCTAATGGCGAATCAACGAGCTCGTGGCCCACGGAGGGCGGACAACTCGGGTGGGCTCCTGGGCCGTCCGGGAGGCCAGAGAGAGCTGACAACTCCGAGCGGCGGGGGTGGTGATTCGGACTGGCCAAAGGCACCCCCCTGGCGATGGGCTGGGCGTCGGGATGTGCGTGGGGCGCGACGGGCCGTGGCGTCGGGCAGGAGCATCGGGCTCGGGCCAGCGCGCGCAAGGTGTTCCTCCTGGTCCTTCTCTGGATCCTCCTCCTTCTCCTCCTCCATTTCCTCTTCCTCTTCCTCCTCCTCCTCCTCCTCCTCTTCCTTCTCCTCCTCCTCCTCCTCCTCCTCCTTGAGGTCCTCCTCCTCCCCCCTCCTCCTTCTCATCCTCCCTTTCGCACCCCCATGCCCGTCCCCCTCCCCCTCCTCCCCCCCATGCCCCTCCTCCTCCACCTCCTCCTCCTCCTCTTCCTCCTCCAACTCCAACTCCTGATCCTCTCGTTATCCTCCCCCTCCTCCTCCTCATTATCCTCCTCCTCCTCCTCATTCTCCACCTCCTCCTCCTCCTCCTCCTTCTCCTCCTCCTCCTCCTCCTCAGGATTCCACATGGGACCCGAAGGAATCCTCGGAACCGGATGGCGGGGAGGGGGGATCATTTTTCGACATTGGTTCCAACGCGACGCCCAAACAAATCTGGCGCGGGAGGAGCGATGAAAGGTAAGATGAGGCCAAGACGAGGATCAATTCGGATGAGGATATATCAAGAATCTCTGAGAGCCGGCGGCTCTAGAAGATCTCGGACGCAACGGCCTTCTCAGAGCGTTCCGGAACGCTCTGGCACGGACTGATCCTCGTCATAGCCCCGTTCGAAAGGAACACAATTTCGCCCCTCAGATCTTACTCGTAAGCCCTACAGTCAACCCGTCTCATGAAGATGCGCGGCAATGATGCAAGGGCCTCGGAGGCCCATGGGAACGTCTTTCCAGCGAGGCCGTCCAGCAAAAGCCACCGAGGATGGGCAGAAGGGGCAAAGATGCAAGGGCACCGCGGGAAGGTTGCCAACCCTTGCTGTGCGGGTTGATTGCACACGCTACGAAGGCACCCCCCCGGGACAAGGGGGGAGGGGGGCGTGCTTGTGTACAGTAGGAGCCCGACCACAAGAAACCTTTCACGAGAAACCCAACCCTAAGACCACAGGACGCTCATCGATGTTTGGTGGGAACGTCACGCTCTCCATTGCAAAACCATCGAAACCCAAGCTGAAGAGAAGCAGCGTGCTTCTTGGCATGGGCCCCCAACGTGATCCTCCACCACCACTACCTGGGGAGGCTGTCCGTGCGCAGCCCGAGAGGCCTCGCCAGGCCTGCAGCTCGTGGCGCGTCCCGACCACCAACGGAGCCAGCAAGACTGAGCACGCACGGACGGGGGCACGACCCGAGCAGGGGGGCTGAGGACCGCCGGAGGCGCCTGCCTGGGGACGGGGGCCGCGACGCGAGCAGGGGGGGTCGACCAGGGGCGGGGTCCAGGAACGCCTGCAGCTCCGCTCGACCACGCCCCACTCTGGGACGTTGGGCGCCGTCGGGTCGAGCAGCACAAACTCCGGCAGCGTCAGCCTGCAGAGCGCCTCGAGCGGCGACGCCTCCCCCGCGGCGGGGCCGGCGGCCTTCGCGAGGAGGGGGGGCCCGAGGTCGTGCAGGGTCAAGGCGACCTTGGGGAGACCACCAGATGCCGACACTGCTGCTCCCCGGACCTCTCCTGGGGTGCGTTCTGACCTGGTCTTCGAGGCGCATCCAGCGTCGGCGACGGCTCGTCGTCGTCGTCGTCGTCGTCGTCGTCGTCGTCGTCGTCGTCGTCGTCGTCGTCGTCGTCAAGGACGTCGTCAAGGACGTCGTCGTCGTCGTCGTCAAGGACGTCGAGCCCAGGACTCCAACGCGACGCCATGGCCCAGGCGACGATGGCCTCCCCGAAGGCTCTGCAGGGAGGCGAGCACGAGGGAGGGGCAGCGGCAGCTGCACCGCTCCTGGCCAGGCCCAGCCTGGCCTGGATGGGTGGAAGTGTATCGCTGATGACCTCCAACCTTGTGTCGGCATGTCCCTCCAAAGGAGGAATCTTCAAAAATAGTCGAACACATGTACGGGGACGATTCTGTGAGTATTTGTTTGACTATTTCCGATCTGTTTTTCAATACTTTCGATTTTTCATCCAAAATGCGCCTGTAGGGGGGACATGCCCGACCTGACTCCGACGCCTCTTCCCCAGACAAGCGACGCCCTGAAATTGCAACACGCGGCCCCCCGAAGTCTATATAGACCCTCTCCCCGGAACCGGCTTCTCGGCTTCTCATACAGTCGGCCTTGATTGGACAGGACACGCGAGAGGACAGAAACCCCTTCCGCAGACCACGTTGCCACAGAAAGGCAGGAGGCATGGGTCGCAAGACACAAGACACGAAGGCACCCTTGATCTGGCAGGGCCGACCTGCTCATCCGGGCCGCCCGTACCGCATCCTATTCTTGCGTCGACGATCCCCCGGGGCCCCGCGCGCAACACTCTAGGCTGTCCCTGCTGCCGCTCTATAGGCGTGAGCGCGTCCAGGCCCGCCGCGACCTGGGCGGAGGGCATGGCGGCGCCGTTGAAGACCGTCACCGCGGCGGTCCCGCAGGCGGCCTCCTCGGGCCTCTCCAGCGGCGGCCGCAGCACCCGCAGGCCGTAGGGCTCCAGCCGCGCCCGCAGGAGCTGCCCGACCTCCCCGTCGAGGCTGCTGCGCCGGGAGGCCGCAAGGCACCGATGCCGCTGCTCCCAGATCATCGGATACTTACCGAGTGCTTTCGGTCGCGATCGGTAGCGACCGATCGGCACTCCAAATCGGTCGCGACCGATCGCGACCCTTCCCAGAATCGGTCGCGGCTGGTCGTTGACCGAGTGCGGACACTTATGATACCCGGGAGGTAATAAAGTTCGGGGGTCTGGCGGGGATAATCAATGATTTTCTCGGGGAAGTAGTTAGGAAGTTATGATGATGATAACGATGATCATGATGATGGTGATCCTGGGCGCTCGGCACAAGACTGACCCGAGAGATCTCGATGCTCGTGGCTACTAATTGCCAGCGCAAGAGAGGTCCTTGGCCGTTCTGGTCAAGACACCTCTCTGGCGCTGGACTTCCAACCGCTCGCCCATGCAGGCGCGGCACCCTTTGGAGCCGTCCAATCGGCCCCCATGACCCTGCCACACGTTCTTGATTCGGGAACGGCTGATAAAGTTAGAATCCCATGGCCCTGCCGCACGTTCGTGACTTGGGCAAACTGAACTTTTGAGAAGCCCACAGCCCTGCCACACACTCGTGATTGCGCAAGCTGGTATGGTGAGACCACCATGGCCACGCCCAGCGTGGTTGATGCGGTTGCTAGTTAACATGAGATGACAGCAACTTCGGTTCGCAATTTCCCCCGTGCATTATCAAGTTCGGCCTCCGCGCCCATCTCCACAATGAAATCCAGGGGTACTAGAGGGGGTTAAGGGGGGTACTTTATCATCGCCCGCACGCGGTTACCCAGTCGCGACCGATACTGACATTCGAACTTAAGATCGGTAGCGAGCGTTCTCTAGAAGAAGGAACAGCCACATAAACAATAATGTTTGGCGCTCCGCGCGGATTTCTTGGGTTCGCGCTGGACCCCCTCCTGGCGCGCGGAGCGCGCCAGGGGCGGCGTCGGAGGCGCCGCCGGGGGGCCCAGGCACGGATCCAAGAAATCCGCGCGGAGCATGATCATGTGTTTTTCTGCTTCGATGATCCTCCGTCGCGAGTGGAAACCTCCAGAATCCAATGCTCAGGGCTCCCTGGGCCCCCTCCCCTGGGTGCGGGCTGACGGGGCTTGCGAGGCGAGTCGGCCCTGGCGACGACGAGGGCCTCTCGGGAGGCCCACAACGGCCCATCGTGCAGCGGCATGGGCACTTCTCCTCCCCTGACTGTACTCGAAGGTCAGCACCCGGCCCCCTGGAGTGCCGCGGAGCCCAGAGGCCAATAGCTCGACGCCGCCCCCCTCGTTGGGGGCCTGGACACTGGCACCCACACCAACATCGGGCACCAACCCGGGTCAACACAGTCAGAGGCGTCGATAGGGGCGAATAGCCCAGGGGAGAGCAACACATGTATTCAGGTGCGCCGATGATCTATCTCTGTCTTCGAGAAGGATCCCGGGCGAATGCGCGTAACGCCCGCCCCTGGGCTATTCGCCCCTATCGTCGCCGCCGACACAGGCACGGGTCGGCCAGGGCCCTGTCGAGAGGCCCGGCCAGCCGAGGAACGGCGCCCACCACCGGGGTCTCAGCGGAAGGCGGAACGGGGGCATCGGCCCTGCGTGGCTCCCAAACCGGGGTCAGCCAGGGGGGATTCGCCGACCCCCGTTACGCGAGCCCCCATCACACCAAGGGCTGCCTCCACCGGCGGAAGATGGCCCCAGATCCCCCTGGAGGCAATCTTTCGACCACCTGAGAAGCCCCAACATTGCCAACATCAGCGAGATCGGGATCATCTCTAAAGGCAAGACAAAAGAAGAAGAAAAATAATAACAAAAGGAAGAAACGGCATAGACACAAACTGATGGCGTTCCTCGCGGATTTCGTGGATCTGCGCTGGACCCCCCTCCCTGGCGCGCGGAGCGCGCCAGGGGCGGCGCCAGAGGCGCCGCTGGGGGGGGGCCAGCGCGGATCCCAGAAATCCGCGCGGAGCGCCAACAATTTATATTGATGGCGTTGTTTCTTCTTCGAACTCTTCCAGCGGTAGACCCAGACCCCCGACGTCATGACTTGTTTAACGACGGCGACCCACAAGGGTCTCGACCCCTTCCCCCGGGCCGGTGTTTCATCCTGCGCCGCCTTTTGCGACGGTCCTGCGGCCCGGTAGAAGGTCCCCAGGGGCCGAAAGTGGCGTAACACCTGCCGTCATGATTTTGTCATTGCTCGAGGGGGGCCGGGGAGGCAACCGCCGGTCGTGGTGTTGGTGCCAGCCTCTAGGCCTCCGCGCCTCTCCCGCGTACAGGTCGAGCGCCGAGCTCACGTCGGCCCGCCGCGCCGTGCACCACGCGGCCCGGCCCAGCTTCTGGTCCGGCCGGACGGAGTAGTGGGTCGCCCTCTCGAAGAACCCCGCGGACTCTATCTCCCCCTCCTCTGGAGGGAGAAGAAGAGGAGGAAATGGTACCCATCCCATCAAGCCTCCCTCGTTTTCCCCTTGTTGCGCCTCCTGGGTGGCTCTCGGCGCTACCGCTGGATTCGCCTCGAAATCCTGGTCAGAATGCACCCCAACGAAGAGCAATTCGCCGGCCCAACGGGCCAGAGGCGTGCTAAGATCTCCGGTAACTTGTTAACAATATTTCTAGTTCGCGCGCGCGGAGCGGCCCCTGGGGGCCCCCGGACGAAAAGTACCCCGGCAAGGTCCCGAGAGAAGCCCGGGAGAAGCCACCAGACCACTCCAGGGGAGGGTATTTTTCGACACCCCTCACGAGGATCGTGGCCTCCGAGGGGGGAGCCGCAATCGACTACCCCCAAGAGCCCCCCAAGAGGCCCTGGGGGCCTCCAAAACGCCGCCAAGGAGCCCCAAGAGACTCCCAAGAGGTCCCCAAGAGGCCCCCAAGAGGCCCTAAAGAGGGCTCCAGGGCCGGCGGCATGAGCGAAGCGATTAAATAAAAGTACACCTGGCCCTTTGGAAGGGAACCTAAGTTAGGAGGGCCAAGCACATGGGCGATAGGGGGCCTTTTCTGTGGATGTATCAGACCAAACAGCCAAGATTGATTATCCTTCCTGCGAAGAAGGGAACCTCAGTGAGGCGACGTCTTCACTGTGGTATCGCGGTTGGGGTTTCCCGTATTCTCGATGAGGACACCGCCAGCAAAAAAAAAACAAGCTTTCGGAGCTCATCGCGGATGTCCTGGATCTGCCCTGGACCCCACCCCTCCTTGGCGGGCGGAGCGCGCCAAGGGCGCCGCCAGGTGCGCCGCCAATGAGACCAGCGCAGAGCCAAGAGATCTCCACGAAGCTCCGAAAGGTCTAAATGAAGGGGAGGCGCAGGAGTCACACGGAGAGATACGGAAAGCACACTCCCAGCCATGCGAAGTCCTGATGTGTTCGATGCGCAGTCTCCAGAAAGCGCGACCCTTTCCCCGAGACATGTTGTTCATCCCCAGCCGTTTTTCGACGGTCCTGAGGGGTCTGGCGAGGGCCCCCAAGGCCCCGAAACAGCCCAAAACCTCTCGCCGTGATTTTTGTACGACTCAGGCATGTCTGCGCTGTTACCTTCGTTGGGAGTCATGCTCATGCTGCTCACTTTTCTCCTCCTTCTCTTCCTCCTCCTCCTCCTCCTCCTCCCTCCTCCTCCTCCTCCTTCTCCTCCTCCTGTTCTCAGATCCTCGCCCCGCATGCACCGCACCAGCCGCTCGCGGGCGAGCTGCGCCCGGGCGCGGAAGGCGCCGTCGCCGCCCCGGCAGCAGCGCTCCGGGCTGTAGAAGCCGTCCCAGCACGAGGCACTCTGCCCGCCCCCACAGCACGCCTGTAGTCTAGAAGAAGAGAAAATGGAACAAGCATAAACTTGTGGTGCCCTGCGCGGACTGATTGCATCTGCGCTGGACCCCCCTCCCTGGCGCGCGGAGCGCGCCAGGGGGCTGGAGGCGCCGCCGGGGGGGGCCCAGCGCGGATCCAAGAAGTCCGCGCGGAACGCCAAAACTTTTGTTTGTGGTGTTTTTCCTCCTTCGAGCCTCGCGCATCTCCCGGGCGCCGTCTGGCCCCTGCAGGTCCTCGAGGCAAAGCCGCACACTGAGGCGCGCAGCACCACCCTGCAGCCCGTCCGTTTTGAGATTGCTCGCGAGGGTGCTCCCTGGGGAGACCAAAAGGCACCGATACCGTTACTCCCCGGACCTCTCCCGGGGTGCGTTCTGACCAAAATTTCGAGGCGAATCTAACGGTGGCGACGAGGGCCTCCGAGGAGGCCCGAAAAGGGGAAAACGGGCGGAGGGTAGTATGGGTACCTTGCCCTCCTCTGACTCCCCCTCCTGGTCACGTCACGCTTCGCGCCGGCGCCGTCTGGGAATGAATCATCCTCGGGCACTCCCGGGTGGCGCCTGCGCGAACCGTGACGTGACCCCCCCCCCTCGCCCCTCCCCCCTACCCTGGTCACGCCCGCTATCACCAGGGGATGACAGCACGGGTCGCTGTCATCCTAGACTCAGGTCGGGCATGTCCTCTCCTCCTACAGGTGGAATTTCTAAAGAAACTAAGAATGGTGACAAAACATCAAAAAATAGCAGAAACATCGTCCCCAGAGTATTTTAGCATATTTTTGAATACTCCTCCTGTATAGGGACGTGCCCGACTTAATCCTAGAACGTCCGATGGGACTGGTTGTAGCCCCTCTTTCTTCTCTGTTTTTCTTCCTTCCCCTCTACATCGGCAGGGGTGGGCTGGGCCCTCCTGATACCCGATCGCTGTGTCTGTGGACGGGATAAAATGACCGTCGCCTCCCTCCTGTGGATGGTCGGACGCTCTGCCAAAAAAGGGAACTCGTGGGAAATCCGAACGAAGACAAATACCGCTACTCCCCAGACCTCTCCCAAGGTGCTGTCTGACCAGAACCGCAAGGCGAACCCAGCCGTGGCGACGAGGACTCCGATGAGCTCCAAAAATATACGAAACAACGAGGGACGGGTGGCGGTATCGGTACCCGCCCAACACAGCACGCCCGCCTCTGGGGGGACAGAGGGCACCAACACACCTACTCCACGGATTTCTCCCCAGGCGCCTCCTGACTAGGATCTCTAGCATCCAGCCGTGGCGACGAGGGCTCTCCAAAGGACCAAATAGGCGAAAATGAAAGAGGGGCAGCGGTCATGGGAGTCCAGGATAGTTCAAACAAACAAAAACAAACTCTGGGCCAAAAATATTCAGTGTTTAAACGGACGGAGGTCACCAGAACCGCGTCTCACGACATCACACAAATCACAGAGAGCGACAACAACTGAAATGCCCACTGGGGCTCACAAGAATTACGGGGGAAGAACTAAGTCATTCGCCGCCGGGAGCGCGTTCCCCCCCCACACAGAGGACCGGGGAGGGTCCTTCCATCATAGCTCTCGGGGGAGCGAGCACTACCAGTTTCTTTCTACCTCTTCCGCAGAGGTTCTCGTCGGAGCAGGAGCGGTCCCAACCGGTCGGAGCCAAGCAGCACCCCCGTGCGTCTCCTCGGGGTAACTCTGGCCAGAACGTCGATGAGGATCCAGCCGCGGCGACGAGGGCACGTGTGGACTCACGATTAGGTCGGGCATGTCCTCCTGCAGGCAGATTTTCGGGGGGGACATAAAAAAGGCAAACATACTCGAACACAGTCGACGATCCTAGAAAATCGTCCCTTGACAATGTGTATCAGAGTGAGGGGGCCGAACGGTCATTCATTGTCCCTGGGTGCGTGGCTGAATTGAGAATACGTGGGGAGGATTCTCCTTGTTGCGTTGTTGGTGTGACTGTTGTTGTCGTTGTTGTTGTTGGTGATTTTGTTGTTGCTGTTGTTGCTGTTGTTGTTGTTGTGGTTGTGGCTGTGGTTGTTGTTGTGGTTGTGGTTGTGGCTGTTGTTGTTGATGTTGTTATTGTTATTGTTGATGTTGTTGTTGGTGTTGCTGTTGTTGTTGTTGTTGTTGGTGTGGTTGTTGTTGTTGTTGTTGCTGTTGGTATTGTTGCTGTTGTTTGTTGTCGTCGTCCCCCGCATATGCGGATAAGAACGAGGGGACGGTGGGGACGTCGGCAGTCTGCGTCACTCTGGAGAAGCCCACCGCAGTCGCCAAAATTTCACACATTCTACAACGAGCCCGCCGCAGGCGCCGAATTTTTCTTCAAACCAATGTGGATCGGTCGCGGGTGGGTCGCGGGTCGGTCGAGCGGTGGGTCGCGGGGTGGATCGCGGGTGGGTCGCGGGTTGGGTCGCGGGTGGGTCGCGGGGTGGGTCGCGGAGTGGGTCGCGGGGAGGGTCGCAGAGTGGGTAGCGGGGTGGGTCGCGGGGGGGGTCGCGGGATGGGCCGCAGGTGAGTCGCGGAGTGGGTCGCGGGGGTGGTCGCGGGGGGGGTCGCGGGTTGGGTCGCGGGTGGGTCGCGGGGTGGGTCGCGGGGTGGGTCGCGGGGTGGGTCGCGGGGTGGGTCGTGGGTGGATCGCGGGGGGGACGACGACAGAAAGCAACAGCAACAACAACAACAAAAACAACAACAACAACAACAACAACAACAACAACAACAACAACAACAACAACAACACCAACACCAACAACAGCAACAGCAACAGCAACAACAACAACACTAACGACAGCAACAACAACAACAGCAGCAGCAGCAACAACAACGCAACAAGCATAATCCTCCCAACACATTTTCTGTTCAGCCACGCACCCAAGGACAATGAATGACCGTTCGGCCCCCTCTCTGATTTTTGTATATTCCTCCTGTGTAAGGACATGCCCGACTTCAGCTCACGAGCGGCGAACATATCAATGTATCCTTATCCGCGCCCGCGCGGTCTGGATTACAGGGCGGTCTCACGGTGTCGTTCCGCACGGGGCATACGCGAACAAAAACGCCCCGTATCCGCGGGATCGCGGCCCAGGGGTCCGGCCCGCAAGGCCGCGGATTCGGACATGTATTCCGCCCACGATGGGCGAGCAGCGGCATGGAACTTTTCCTCCCCTGCAGGTCAGAGTGAGGGGGCCGAACGGTCATTAATTGTCCCTGGGTGCGTGGCTGGAGTGAGATTCCGTGGTGATGGTGTTGCTTGTTGCGTTGTTGTTGTTGTTGTCGACGTCGTCGTTGTTGTTGCGGTTGTCGTTGTAATTGAATTCTCATTTATGACAATGTCTATTGTTAATCCCCCCTCACCGTTGCATGCTGCTATTATCTCAATCAAAATGTGCCCCTCGACGCTCGCACCTCTTTTTTTTGTTGGGACAAAGAAAATCTTGGTGCTCAAACTGTGCCCCTGGCCCCCGGGTTACAACAACAACGGCTCCCGCCTGAGACCTCCTCGCGATTTAACCAGGACCCCCGCTCCCGCCTGAGACTCCCTTGCATTTGATTCAGGAATCGCACTCTCGCTTGGGACTTCTGAATGATTTATTCCGGAATCGTTCTCTCCGCGCTCTGGAGGCGCGCTCTCGCTGGAGACCTGCTTGCGACTCACTTAGGAAAAGCGCCCTTGCGCTGGAATTCCACGCAATTCACTCAAGCGCCGCGCTCCCAACACTCAGGCACCCAGGAGTCGCGCTCACGCTTGGGACTCCCCAGCAATATCTACGAAACGAGATCTCGCTGTCTTTCGTGGCCCCGTTGCAGCCCTTCGTGGCCCCCTCGCTGCCCTTAGTGGACCTGTTGCAGCCCTTCGTGGCCCCCTCGCTGCCCTTCGTGGCCCCGTTGCAGCCCTTCGTGGCCCCTCTCGCTGCCCTTCGTGGCCCCGTTGCACCCTTTTGTGGCCCCCTCGCTGCCTTTCGTGGCCCCGTTGCAGTCCTTCGTTGCCCCTATCGCTGCCCTTCGTGGCCCCGTTGTAGCCGCTCGTGGCCCCCATCGCTGCCCTTCCCAACCCGTTGCAGCCCTTCGTGGCCCCCTGGCTGCCCTGCGTGGCCCCGTTGAAGCCTTTCGTGGCCTTCTGGCTGCCCTTCGTGGCCCCATGGATGTGTGCCCTTCGTGGCCCGCGCTCGTTCGCGCCCGTCGTGGCCCCATAAGCATGCCCTTCGTGGCCCCTCTGTCGCCCTTTGTGGCCCCGTTGCTGCCCTTCGTGGCCCCGTTGCTGCTCTCAGTGGCCCCGTCTTTCCCCTCCGCGGCCCAATATATGTATGCCCTTCGTGGCCCCCGCTCGTTCGCGCCCGTCGTGGCCCCATGTGCATGCCCTTCGTGGCCCCGCTGTCGCCTTCGTGGCCCCCTCGCTGTCTTACGTGGCCCAGTTGCTACCCTCAGATGCCCCGTCGTTGCCTTCGGTGGCCCCGCATTATCTGCCCTTCGTGGCTCCCGTTCGTTCGCGCTCTTCGTGGCCCCATACGCATTCCCTTCGTGGCCCCGCTGTCGCACTTCGTGGCCTACTTCGTGAGCTTGGTGGCCCCGCTGTCGTTTTCTCTCTCGCTCTCGCCTTCGCTCGTCGTCGTCGTCGTCGCCGTCGTCGTCGTCGTCGACGTCGTCGTTGTCGACGTCGTCGTCGTCGTGGTCGGTCCCCTGTCCGTCCCTCTTGGGGTCGAGTTGCCGCCGACCAGCGCTGCCGACGGTCCGCGGCCGTCCCGCCGCTTGCCGGGGCCCCGCCTGCAGGGAAGAAAGGTGTACCCCCTAAAAGAGGTACGATCGAAGACGAAGAGGGCGGGTATCGACGGTTTGGGAAATACGCGTTAACGGGCACTCGAGCAGATAAGAGCGAACAGTCTTAAAATGATTGTTGTTGTGGATGTTGTTGTTGTTGTTGTTGTTGTTGCTGTTGCTGTTGCTGTTGCTGTTGCTGTTGTTGTTGTTGTTGTTGTTGTTGTTGTTGTTGTTGTTGTTGTTGTTGTTTGTTGCCGTCGTCCCCCCCGCGACCCACCTACGACCAACCCCGCGACCCACCCCGCGACCCACCCGCGACCCAACCCGCGACCCACCCCGCGACCCACCCGCGACCCAACCCGCAACCCACCCGCGATCCACCCCGCGACCCACTCGCGACCCACCCGCGACCTACTCGAGGCCCACCCGCGACCGATCCACATTGGCTTGAAGAAAAAATCGGCGCCTGCGGCGGGCTCGTCGCATAATTTGCGAAACTGTGGCGCCTGCGGCGGGCTTCTCCAGAGTCTCGCAGACTGCCGACGTCCCCACCGCCCCCTCACTCTTACCCGCATCTGCGGGGTGCTACGTATTCTGGGAAACGCGCGTATGTACATTAAGGTATCAGGGTCCTGCCGCGTGGGCCTTCGCAGAAACGCCACAGGACGACGTGTTATGTATAATGTTCTGGCCGGTTCTCCTTGCAACGTCTTGGAGGCCTCTCGGAACCCTCTTGGCTCTCCGGGCCGCCTCTGGGGAGCGAAACGGGGGGTCATCAGCAAACTTCCCCGGATGGTTGCGGGGTGGGCCGGCCCAGTCCGGGGGGGGGGCTATTCATTTTCATGATATATATATATATATATATATATATATGTCCAAATACATACACATATATATAGATACATAAATATATACATCTATTATACATACATATATGTATGTACACATGCATACACACTGTGTTTGGGACGCAGTTTGCCACTCAGCGGTGGACAAACTCAACCTAGCTCTGGAGGAATGATGCCTAAACATAAACTGTCCGAGGTCCGCTGACTTCTTGGATCTGCACTGAACACCCCTCCCTGGCGCGCGGAGCGCGCTCCTGTCGGTGCCGGAGGCACCTCCAGGGGGGCCCAGCAAATACAGCTCCAAGGAATCCGCGCGGCACTCCGAGAGTTTATGTTCATGCCGTTCTCTCTTCTCAGATAGGTTGACGACCACGACACACGACACGCACAGTGGACGTTCGCCACATGACACACGATACAACCACGACCACGACACATGGCACACGACACGACCACGACACACGACACGTTTACGCCGTTTTCTCTTCTTTATGCCGTGCATGGTGCACGACCACGACACGGTACAGTGGACGTGTTCCTGGCCACGATCCTCGTCGAAGCAGAGCGGCCCCAGCACGTCGGAGCCGAGCAAAACCCCGCCGGGCCGCTCGGCCCCCGCGGCGCACGGGAGGCCCTGCAGGGCCGTGGGGAGCAGGCCGGCCAGCGAGGCGGCCGCCGCCGTGCGCCGCGCGGCTCGCCCGGCGCTCCGCATGGCGCAGGCCGCGGCCCCCTCGCGTCGTGTTAGGTTGGGCATGTCCCCCTACAGGCGGATTTCGGGTGATTTCCCAAGCAGAAGAAAAGGAAAAGAAACAACAAATACTCAAATATGATCAACAAATAGTCGAATAATCGCCCCCAGACTGTGACATCTATATATACACACATGTGTATATACATATATACATATATATATATATATATATATGTTTGAATATTATTCCTCCTGTAGAGGGACATGCCCGACTTTAAAAAAAAAACGCCGTGGCAAAATCGAGGCTTCGAGCCTCTCGGTGATCTACTGCCCCGGGTCAATCAAAAACTTGGGTCGGTCGGGCTTTGCAGGATCCTGCAAGATCCTGCACCCAGGCCCGGGTCTGTGCACCCCTGGCTCTGCAGGATCCTTCAAGATCTGGCGCTCTGACTGATCCCTGTTTAAATTGACCCCCGTCTCCTGAGCCCAGAACCTCGAGTTTTCGAATCACGCCGGGGATCTGAGTCTGGAGGCTGCCTTCAAAAAGTGGCCCTGCAGACGGCCCAGAGAACGGCCGAGGCGGGAGATCAGAGCCCATGCAGGGCCGTGGGCCCAGAGGCCCCTCACGAGCGGCGGACATGTCCGTAGCCGCGCCCTCGCGGTCTGGGATTCCAGGGCGTGATGGATTTGCGGTCTCACGGATACGTCTGTGGCAACTCATCGGAGCCTCCTACACCATCTTGTTGCCTTGCGAATCGACGCTAGTCGACGCTAAATCGACGTTGATCGACGCTAAATCGGTGCTAACCGATGCTAAATCGGCACTATCTCGTCTATTCCCAGGCGCTAATCGACGATCGCTGTCGACGCCAAAGACGGAATTAAGAGGGTATACCAACATACTACCATGATTTGCCACCGAAGGACACGTTCCACGCGGGCACCCGCGAGAAACGACGCCTCGCAGCCGCGGGGCCCAGGGGAACCCGGCCCGAGAGGCCGCGGATGTGCGCTGCTCGCCCACGAGGCGAGCGAGAGGCCCGGGCCCCCATCGCGCCGTGGCAGCATCGAAGCTTCGGGCCCCGAAGGCCGAGGCTTCTTGGGACCTCAGAGGGGCTCCTCTAGAGGCCTCCTGGATGGGGTCCGAGTAGATGGGGTCGGAGGATCGCGCCGCATCGCCGAGGCATCGCCGAGGTATCGGCGATGCATCGGCGATGCATCGGCGACGTCGGCGGTGCATCGGCGGCGTCGGCGTAGGGAAACACGGGCTCCACATCGAGCTGCATCGTCGATGCATCGGCGATGCGGCGCGATTCTCGGACTCCATCTACTCGGACCTCATCTTGGAGCCCTAGACCCCTCGCCGCCACTGGCCGGGCTCGCCGCCGACATCTCATCAGAAGGCGCCCCAGGAGGGGTCCATGGAGGACTCTTGACCCGCGGACCCGGGGCCCCCTCTCGCGCCGCGAGCCACAGACGACGGGCGCGGTTCCTGCCGTATGCTCATGCCTCCGGGGGCCCTCACCGGGAGCAGCCCGGGAGGTCAAGACCTCCCAGGCTGCCAGCACGAGCAGGGGCCATTCAGCTTCATTTTCGGGGCCACGAGAAAGGATTAGGCCGGATTCGGCCTTCGACTCAGCTTGATCAGGCTGAGTTGTTGAGGTAGGAAGGCGCCTAAAATAGATTGAGATCTGGATACCCACAAATAGCTACTTCCAACGACCGGCGAGTAGGCTGGGTTCCGAGCTCGGATGTACCAGCGAGGATGCTGACTTTGACCTCTTCAAGGAGTTGCACCCCGAGCGAGGTGCCCCGACCCACTCACGTCGTGAAAGACCCCCTGTGACATTTACTCCAGGTAACGGTCGAATCCGCGTCGAGTCCGTGTCGAGCGCGTGGAATCCGTGTCCAATCGGTGCCGAATCGACGTCGCATCCACGCCGAATCCGCCTCGAACCCACGTCGGAGTACAAGAACACACCGCCGTGTGACCGTGTCCCGTCTCTCCCGAGCAACGGCCGTGCCCTGCGGGGGGGGGTCGGGCGGGAGGATAACGGCAACGGCGGCCGCGGCGTGCGCCCCCCAGGGTGCGTCCGCGCCACTGGCGCATCCGTGGCCGTTGTGCACCCATGGCATGTAGGGGGGGGTCCGAGCCACCCCCTTCAGTACGATCCTTAACGTTACCCAGGGGGGGGGGTCTGGCCCAGGTAACGAGGGTTCTTTCCCCTGGGGAGGAACAGAAATGCTCAGCCTCACACTGCTTTTTGCCTCCAAAAAACCTGGGCCCCGGGACCGCCGATGGAAACCGCGCATGATGACAAGCCAGGGTCTCCGGAACTGGGTCGAGACCTCTGGGGGCCCACGCTGTGAACAAATCATTACGTCGGCGAGGGAAAGATCTATACTTTATACCCATATCCACTGCGTCTTGTACTTTCTGGGGGGGGGGGCTGGGCGCCACAAGGCCGAGAAGCAGTGGATAGAGAGAGAGAGAGAGAGAGAGAGAGAAAAAAAAATCTAGCCTCTAGGGGCCATGTCCAATGCCTCTGGCCTCTGAGGAAAGGAACCCGAAATTTCAAGACGCGATCCTGCGACCCCATCTACTCCGACCCCATCTAGGAGGCCTATAGAGTTACTGGGGGGGAAGGGTAGAGGGCCTAACGCGAGTTACGGCCCAGAGGGCAACCAACAACAAGCACTCTCTAATCGAAAGAGCGCCGCGAGGCCGCAGGAACGCAACGCACGCATCGCCGCCGTAAGGCAAGAATGGCCGAGCGCCGCACGGGCCGTGAGGCAAGGCAGTACAGCGCAACTCTCCCCAGAGGACCCTGAGGTGGGGAGAGCACGAGCACGAGCAAAAAAGAGGATTGGCTTTGACTGCTGCTAACGGGCCTCGAACTGATCCCTAGCCCTGAGATCGGTAAACCCAAGGCGATGACAGTCTTGGGGATGTGCCCTCAGGAAATTAGGGGAATCCTTGAGATCGACACCGAGGTAAGGTAATGCAGAGCACAAGGAATCGGATAGGGATATGCTTCAAGCTGGTAGTGCTGCGGCCTCGGGGGGCCGTTCCCAGGCATCGGGGCCGTCAGACAGAAACGACTCGGAACGAGAAGCTGCGGCTCCAGGAGTCAGTCGAGGCTCTTGGGGGGTCCACGCCATGAAAAATCACGCCTCGGGGGTCCGGGGGAGGCTGTGAAGTCACGAAAGGCGTCGAGCTTTGACGGCGTCCCTCGAACCTCAGAACCCTCGAACTTCCATTCACCGTCGTCGTCGTTACATCGTCGTACGTCGCGTCGTACGTCGCGTCGTCGTCGCAGTCGTCGTGGTCGTAGTCGTCGTTCGTCATTTTGACGCCGTCGCCGTCGTCGGCGTTTCTCGTCGTCGTTCGTCACCCTCCTCTCGACGTCGACGTCGCCACCGTCGTCGCCAAAACGGCCGTCGCTCGTCGTTGGTCGTCGTCAGCCGGCGGCGCCCGGCAGGAGGCCTGTGGACTGCGGGTTCTCCGCGAGGGTCTGCAGGATGGCCCGGGCGACGTTCGGGTCTCGCAGCATCGCTGCCTGCATTGCCTTTGGGGCGGGGGCGCTCCGAATGGCAATATGAGGGATGGTGTGGAGTGGCATCTATCACATATGGTAGCCGACACTGTCGCGGCGTGTGATTCTGAACTCCTACTTGCTGAGTCGCCTGTGATCTCATCATGATAGTTATCCCATGCTCCCCCGTTCCATCACTAATGCTGCTGGACGTGGGACACGCCATGGACAAAAATGACGATATGGGAACAGCCAAGTGCAGACAGGTTGCGTGTTCCATTGCCCCACTGACCCGAATTACTTGCTAGCAACTTCGTCCTCGTCCGCACTCGCCTCCGCTCCTGCTTCTATCATGTGCTCAATGCTCTGGTCGTGACCCCCTGGTGGACCAAGCAAGGCTCTTCAAATGTCGGCGGCCTTCCCGCTGGCTTGCCTCGCTGCAGTGCAGTGTCCTCCTCCACACGACAAGCCGCACCTTGCGCACACACATGCGTACACACATACACACTTGTTTGGTGTCGCGGCCCCGCGTGCAGCAAAAAGGCGTCCAACACAAACACACACAAAAACACACTCCCGTGGCAACTAATGGGGGCCTCCCATACTATATTGCTGGCTCTTCCGAATCGGCGTTCGCTGACGCGAATCAGCGCTGAATCGACCCTAATCGACACCAGTCGACGTTAGTCGACGCGAAACCGGCGCTATCTCTCATCGACGACCAAGCGCGAATCGACGCTACCGCTAACGCACTCTAAAGACGGAATTGCGGAAGACGCACCCCCATGATTTGCTACCGGCAAACACTTTGGCGTCGCGGCCACGCGCGCGTCGGTGCGGCGTAGGTCAAGCCACGCGGAGACGAGCGGGCCGGCCCAGCCCTCACCCACACACACGCACACGGACGCGCGAACGGGTGGCCTGCGCGACAAGGCCGTGGCGTGGAGTGGTGCCACCGCCACCACGCCCCACGCTGCCATACTGCTTGGCGTCGCGGCCACGCGCCATGCGGCGCAGCGTAGGTTCAGTAAGGCGGGAGCTCGCGGGCTGGGTCAGCTCACACAGCGTGGAGAGGCTGGAAGCACACACACAAGAGCGCGCACACGCGAAGACACGGCTACGAAGTCACTGGACGCATGCGCACGCGCGAGCGCGTCCCTGTCTGCTGCCTCGGCGGGAAGGGAGGCCGTCAGCCGTCTGGAGTACGCCCGCAGCAACCTGTCGACGAACAATATCAAGTTATCGCACGTCAAATATCGCAAGGCGAAAGCTTGCGCATTCCGCGCAATCTGCTTCGCCTCATCGTCGTGTCGCATGAGCCAATCGACCTTCTCAACCAAATCTGCTAGATCATACCGCACAGGCACGTAGTGCACGTAGGGCTCAAGCATCGCGTGGACCGCGAACGCCTGCCAAGGCCCGTCGGGTATGAGCACTACGGAGTTGGTAAACAGCTGCCAGTAGACGCGGTCTGCAGCGGCAAAGCCCTCGACGGCGATCACATACTTGTACCCTCCCTGGTCTTCC